AAAGTGACAACTCTGAGATTGAGAAGTTGGAAGAACGAGAGACGAGTGATTCTGAAAATGAAGAAGAAAGTGAAGGACGCGGAACGAAGCCTATATATAAGGCTCAAACGAAAGAGGAAACTCAACGGAACAAAACAAAAAAGTTAAAGAAGAAGAAAAAAGAGAAAGCCGTTCCGTTCATTGATGATCGTGAAGAAATCGACGAAATTGATAATGAAGCGAGTGACCAATCAAATGAAGAAGAAAGTTCTGATGATGAGAATGACGAAATGTCGAATGTATATGAGATGAGTGAAAACGAGAAGTGTGAAAACAACGAGGATGAGAATTCAATGTCAAATGTATTTGAAGAGAGTGACGTTGACGAGAATGAAAATAATGAACGTATCGAAGATATGGAAATTGACGAGGACGAGATGGAAGAACGGAAAGAGATGGAAGAAAAGGAACAAATTGATAAAAAAGATGATAAAAGTGATGAAGAGTTGGAACAAGCACCAATTGTGTTTCCAAAAAACAAAAAGAAAAAAAGAACGCTGATAATGCCTTGGAATCCACATCAAAACGACGAAGTGGAAAACGAAGAGTCCGATGACAATGACGAATTTCAGGAAAAACCACTCAAGTCAAGACTAAGGAAAAGGCCAAGTAAAAGGGGGTGAATGTGTGTTTTTGACTGTTCTAATATGTGTTGAATCTATTTTGTTGGTGGATGATGAATGGTTTATTTTATAATTAAAGTATGGTACAATTTTATCAAAATTGGAAATTATTAATTAATTATTTATTGTATTTTTAATTTTATTAAAAATTTAGTTATTTATATCAAAATTATAGTATTCTATGTACTTATTTTTTTTATCATTTTTTTAATTTATTTTTTGTAATTTAATAATTTTTTTTTTTCAAAACCTTTTTAATCTATATATTAATAATTAATAGTAATAATAATATTATTACTTATTTAATAATTAATAGTAATAATTATTTAATCTTTGCTTAAAAATATTAATAAAAATATAATTGTAACAAAAGTATAAATTAATTTTTAAAATTATATAGTTTAAAGTATTACATTTTATAATACATGAATTGTTTTTTGAAATTCATGATCACAATTTGAATTGATTCACAAAACAGTTTATCAAATCTATAATTAAACAATCTTTTCAATGAATCAAGTCGAGAAACATAACAAAAAAGTCACCACGTCATACGAAAATCACGACAATTTAAATCATTATCTGAATTGCTAAGGAAAACGCCATAAAGTATTTTACTAAACAATTTAACAAAAGTAAGAACAAAAAATGTGGAGAGGTGGGAAGAAATCTAAAAAAGAAATCTGGGCATCACAATTTTATTAATAATTAAACCAAAATTATTTTATCAATTCTTTTGGCATTATTTTATTATAATTACCATCTTGTTTTTTTTATTTTGAAATAATAATAATAACAATCACGTGGTGATAAAAAACAATAAATTGTAACCTCAAAAAGACATAGTATCTGGAAAATAAGACGAAGCAATCTGGTCCAAAAATGAAAGAAAAGATGGGAAAAATAATAATGGAGATTGTAATGATGGAATGAATCAACATTTAAGGAATGGAAAAACTCTGAAAACAGAAACAAATGGAAACAGTGAACGACGTTGTCATCATCGGATCAGGCCCCGCTGCTCATACCGCGGCCATTTATTTGGGAAGAGCTTCTATCAAACCAATCATGTATGAGGGTTTCTTGGCTGGTGGAATAGCTGCTGGCGGACAATTGACCACCACAACCATCATTGAGAACTTCCCTGGATTCCCATCGGGTATTGATGGTAATGAGTTGATGCTCCAAATGAGAAAGCAGAGTGAGAACAATGGAGCCACCATCATCACCGAGACTATTTCAAAGGTCGACTTATCATCACGTCCATTCAAATTGTGGGACGAAAACGGAAAGGAAATATTGGCGAAATCTCTTATCATTGCTACTGGCGCAACTGCTCGTAGAATGAAAGTTCCGGGCGAAGACATTTATTGGCAAAACGGTGTCTCGGCGTGTGCTATTTGCGACGGCGCCGTCCCTATTTTCAGAAATAAGGTCTTGATGGTTGTTGGAGGAGGTGACGCTGCGATGGAAGAGGCGATGCACTTGACTAAATTTGGAAGCAAAATCATCATTCTCCACAGAAGAGATTCTTTCAGAGCAAGTAAAGCAATGCAAGAGCGTGTGTTAAACCATCCAAAGGTCGAAGTAATGTGGAACTCGACTCTTATCGAACTTGTTGGTGATGGTAATTTACTCAATGGTGCTAAAGTCAAAAACGTTGTCACTGGTGAAGAGAAAGTTGTCCCAATAAGTGGATTGTTTTACGCTATTGGACACGCACCAAACGTTCAATTCCTTAATGGACAGCTCAAGCTGACCCCAGAAGGATATATCGAAGTCAATGAAACTAAGACCAGTGTCGATGGAGTCTTTGCTGCTGGAGATGTTTGTGATAAAGTTTACAGACAGGCAATTGTTGCTGCCGGAAGTGGTTGCAAAGCTGCGTTGGACTGCGAGAAGTGGTTGCAGACCCATTAATTCATCTTTTCAAGGCTTCTCTTTTTGAAATTAAATTGTCATAATTATTTTAATTTGTCATTTCTAAACAATTAATTTTATCATTTTTTACATTTGAAATGTTCAAAAATCCATTCAAATGTTTACGATTTTGCTCATTCCAATCAAAATGTGTAAAAACAAAGTGTTTTGAATCAATGGTTTAGGACTTACATCACTTTGAAAAGTGAAATGACGGCGGAGCCGACAACAACGAATAAGAAGACGGCGAGGATAATTGGTCCGACGCCTGGTTTCTCCTCTCTCTTGTTGACCGTCCCATTCTTGACGAATTTCTTATTTGCGACTTTCATTTGTGCTTGCGCTCCAGACATGTCCAACGAATTTAATCAGTTCAGTTCTTACTTTTCTAACTTTGTTTCACATAAAAAAACCAAATTGCTTCTCTCTTCTCTTCTAGAAGCACAAATTCGTCACTATAATTTCAACACTATTTTCAATTCAAACATCGTATTGTTTTTTTATAAATTAATTAATAGTTAAATTCTTCTTCCTCGAACAGGCATAAGTCATATAACCTTTTGTAATAAAAATAATTATTAATTATAATTAATTGTGTGTTTTGTTTTATTTATATACCATAAAGGTTGTTTGATCAAAATAAAATAATGGATTGTTATGGAATAACCATTACTAATTAAAATGATTGTTTTATTATATATTATAATATAATTATTTAAGCGAATTGTGGCAAAATCAAAGCACAAATCAGGACTAAAAAACAAATATGATTTAAAACTATAAAATGTTATATATAACAACAAGTGAAAAATGTTATTTAAAATAAAAAACGAAAAGAAAATTCTTATTTGTATTTTTTCAAAGGAAAAAAAGAAGAATAAAATTGTGTAAAAAGACAAAACAAAACGGGAATAGTAACGAAAAAAAAACAATGAAAAAGTTGAAAGCAAAATTTATCAAAAAATTTCGAAAGAAAAAGTAAACGTCAATATAAGCCCAATTCATCGATCTTGTTACAATGTTCTTTGTTCTTTTATTGAACCTGGCTCTGGCTAACACTTGTGCTCAAAACCAAAACATATTTGCTTGCCCAAATAGAAACACAGACACTATGATAAGCAACGCAGATGATTATAGATGGCAAACCCCACCCCGAGGAAGTGAAGACTGGAAAGAAGGGTATCAAGGATACTCTCATGTAGTTGGGTATGCTCGTGTTAAGTACACATCTACCGCAAGAACAGCCGCAACTGTTACTGTTGTTCCATCCGTGAATCCAAAATATAACATCAAAAAGATCACATACGAGTACAATGGTGTTGCCTCAGACTCTGAAGTGTATCAAGTCTCTAAAGAAACACTCCCAACAGAAGATTTGAAGATTAAAGTGATTGTCCATATGGACAATGGAGAGACTGAATACATCAACTTGGAGCCACTCGATTTCGTCTGGAGTATTCCAGCCGCCAATTTACCATCTAACTATCAAAAAGGACAGAAGGGGGGTATCGTTGAGATGTTTGGATGGCCATTTGAAGACATTGGAAAGGAGTGTGAATTCATGGGCAAGGCGGGGTGGCTTGGAGTCAAGGTTTTCCCACCACAAGATTCAGTCATTTCCTTTGACCAACCACAAGATGGATATTTGAATCCGTGGTATTGGGTCTATCAACCCGTCGCTTACACTTTAAATTCACGTATGGGGACTCGTGCACAATACAGAGAGATGGTCAGAAATTGTCGTAAGAATAACGTCTTAGTGTACAATGATATGGTAGTGAATCACATGTCTGGTGGAGGAAATGATATTCTTAACAACCATTGTAATGGCAATGATTTCTGGGCTGGTAAAGATTCCAATACACATGCACCATACTTCACACATTCCATGACTTATGGTAACGACAAATACACCGGTAAAATGAACGCTCCTGAATTCCCAGGTGCATCATATGGCCCAAGCAATTTCCATTGTGACAAAGCTTGTGACTCATGGGCGGACGGTTTCATTTTGAACAGTGGGTGGTTAGTCGGACTCTCTGATTTGGCTGTTGAACAAGAGTATGTCAGAGACAGAATAGCGACTTGGATAGTCGAGAACTTAGGAGCTGGAGCTTCTGGTATTCGAATAGATGCTGCCAAACACATTTCCCCAGACAACTTGGCTGCAGTATTTGGTAAAGTGAAAGAGTATATGGGTGGTGCGTTACCAGATGATTTTATGGCATACTTAGAAGTACTTATTGGAGGGGAGTCTCAATTGTTATTATGTGTATATAATGACTACCAATACACCACTTACTTAACCGAACAATTGAAGGCAAATGGGTTGAGTGAGAGTGACATAGCCAAAGTGAAATTGTGGATGTCGTGGTTCCCAATGGAAGTCGGGAAATGCGACGGTAGAGAATTGGTGCCATGGGAGAGACTTGTTATTGAGAACGATGACCACGACCAACAGAATCCGGGAAGCACATCACGTAACATGTACGAGCACGGTTCGGTCTTAGTCAAAGACAAGAATGTCGAGTCACACAGAAACTTTGAAATCTCGTTGTTCTCAAGAACCGACCAAAACTGGACACACAGACTCTTGTTGTCTTCTTACACACAAATTCAAAGCACAAATGGAAACGATGGATTCCCTGATGGACTTTCAGACTGTTCATTGTGTACTGGTAACTATTGTAATAACTGCAAATCAATTCCAAAGAGACAAGCCTATGTCGCTGATGCACCTGGGTATTCAGTTGAAGGTTTCAGAGGAAGCGATTATACCAGAACACATAGAGACACTGCAGTTATCAATGCCATGAGAGGATGGATGGGTCTTGGTGCCATTTCAGCCAAGGAGCTTGGCATTAAAGAGGACAATTGAATTTCAAATCAGAGGTAATTTAATCTTTTATTTTAATTATTTACTAATTATATTAATTATATTAATTATATTAATTATATTAATTATATTAATTATATATTATTATTATTATTATTATTATTATTATTATTATTATTATATTACTATTTACACTTTATACCAATAAACAAATGAACTTCAAAGAAACTAAGAGAACATATACTTCAAATATTAAAACCATCAAGTTGGTTGACAACATTATTTTTGAGCCTCATCACTTTAATGAGTTCTAAATCTCTTCCACCACTTTTTAACAACTCTTTTGGGTCGATGTTGAGTCGTTCCTTATTCAATGCTTTGTTCATCATATCGTTGATTGACTTTTCAAACAACACTCGTTTCTTATCACTGAGCATTTTAATCGCCTCAATCTGCTTTTTGGCATTCACCTCTCTTTCTTTCTTCAACTGATTGAATTGCTCCTTCACCTCTTTGATTGAGTCTTGGGCTGAACTGTCGAGTTCTTTAACAACCTTTTTCCTCTCATTTTCAAGACTTTTCAGTCGATCAAACTCATTTTTATGTTCGTCCACATCATTTTGTCGTTCATTGCGTTCTTTACTCTCTCGTTGTTCTCTCAACATTGTGTTTTTCATTTGTTTGATTTTCAGTTTCTGTTGTTCGCTCATTCTTCTCTCCAGGCCGGGAATCACTCCCATTGACTTTCTTAACTTATAGTAGTTTTCCATTTCCTTTCGCTGTTTCTCCTTTTGTTGGTCTTCTTTTTGTTTCAGCCACTTCTTAAGCCTTTCCGTGTTTTTCCGGATGAGTTCCTCTTTCTTCCGTTGGGCTTCCATTCGTTGTTTTCTCATTGCACTTTCGACTTCTCTTCGTTTGTTCTCTGCTTTTTGTCGTTGTAAATTACGTCGTTGCCAGTCTTTCATTGCAATCTTTCTCTTGAGCGATGCATTAAGTTTGTGTTGTACATACAATTTCTGAGCAACGAGCTCGTTGTTTGTATTCATTATAAGTCTCTGTTGTCTCTTTCTTTTCTCATTTTGTCGGTTCATCTTGTTCTGCACTTTTTGTGCTTGGAGTTTCATGGTAGCCATAAACGCAGCTCGTTCTCTCGAAAGTTCTCTGATTTTGATTTGGTCTGCAGTTGTCTTCCGATTCAATTTTTGAAGCATTCTAAGTTGTCGAAACCCCGCAAGAGCTTTCATTATTTGGGTTTGTTGAGGAGTCAAATGTTTATGACTTGTTCCATATAAATCTTGTTTAACTCGTTGTTTTAAGAGTCGTTGTTTCGTTTGTTTTGTCAAGTGTTGTTGTTCTTCTTCTTGTTTCAAATTCTTTTTCACTTCAAGTCTTGCTCTTCTCAACTGCATCCGTTCCTTCCGTTGTCGTCGTTCTCGAACCTTTCGCGCGCGTTCTTTCTTTCTTCGCTTCGCTATTCGGCGCCTTCGCATCATCCGCTCGACTCGCCCACTTCTTCTTTTGTACAAATACATTTGGTACGGTGCAATATCAGTGAGTAAATACTCATCGTTCTCTTCCAAAAAATCAAGAGCGTCCATTGAGCTCACAAATACAATAAAACACAGTATGGCTATCGCCATTCGTTTTGATAGTATGACTTTATAGTTTATTAGTAGTATTATTTTATTAAAAGTTTCTATTCTTTAACTTAAAAATCATAATGTTATTCATCGCTTATCTCATCATCTGCACTTTGGCGGCCGCAGAGCAGCCGCCTGCATCTTCTCCAACAACTACTCCTTCTTCAACTAATTCAACAGAAACGACAATGACTGACGAACAACTTAAAAAGAAATATAACGAAGACTTCGTGCAGTCAGTGAAAGACCGAGCGGTGCTGATTCAAAACGAGAAGAAGTACGACGACTATCGGATGAAGCAGATCGAGCAACAGAGAAAGAGTTTTATAGACAATTACAAAAAGATGAAGATCGAAGAAAAACGACTTGATTTGGTGAAACGTGGGATGGAACCCGGGAAGAAGCCTACTTTAATGACAGACCCCGTATGGAAAAGAATCGGATTACCAGACCCTACAATACCCACAAACAACACTAATAGTACTAATGGTACAAATAGTACAATTCAACCTCCTCCACACTACCCAATAGATCCACTCGTTAGATAAGTTGAAACATGAATTTTATACTGAAATGGGCCTGGAATTGAAATCAAAATAGTTCGTTAAAATTGGTTTAGAAAGCTTCCAAAACGTTCAAGTTCTTGTTGAAATCGTCGACCTTCTTCGCTTTAAGATTGGACCCAGACAACATCTTCTTGATTCTTTCCTTCTCAGTCTTTATATACCCCTCGCCCTTCTCAACTATTCTCTTCATGACTTTCACATAGTAATTGGAGCCAACAGTCTCCATGGCCTTCTTAATGAGTTCTTCCTTGTTCTCAGCCTTCAAGAATGTTTTAGCCAAATCGTCCAATTCAGCAATTCTACCAGCGGTCTTCCCGACTTTTCCAGTTTCGTCTCTGTCATATCCATAGTTAGTGTTGAAATATGCAACAAAGTCTTTAACTTCTCTGTTCCCTTCATAAGCAATACCAGTCTTGGTGGCCTTTGGGAATGATTTCAGTGTTGGATACCCGTGGACTTCGTACTTACCACAGACCTTAGTGTTAACAGTGCAGTCGACCTCAGCCATAATGAAATCGTCCTCACCAGCATACATCTTACTTAATTCAACATACTTTGGAGCAAGTGCTTTGCAGTGTCCACACCACGGAGCATAGAATTTGACAAAGACGTTTTTGGTTGGGTCCATGACGATCGTGTCAAACGTGTCGTCAGTGACTACAACGACGTTTGAGGCAACCTTTGGTTGAGTCTTTTCATCGATGAATTTCACCAAGTCGTCAAAGCTTCTGTCGCCGTTATAATCGATGGCGTCAGTCGTTCCTTTAGCGAAAAACTTGAGTGTTGGGAATCCTGAAATACCAAATTTACCACAGAGATCCTTATGGTCTTTGTTGTCACAGTCCAACTCAGCAATAACAATGTTATCGTTGCTTTTGTATTTGTCAGCAAGTTTGACGTACTCCGGCGCAAGCTTTTTGCAGTGGCCGCACCATGGAGCAAAGAATTTGACAAAGACGTGACGAGTGCCGTCAACAATGTTGTTGAAGTTTGTTGGATTCAAACTCACAACACTCGCTTGAGTGCAGAGGACGGTTGCTAACAGAAGAAGAACTCCCATTCTGCTTTTTTAAGTTCGTGAGGGACATTTTCTTTCAAAGATGAGAACACGTCGGATATCCGTGTCAATATTAAGATTGCGGGATTGAGATTTGATGTAACATACCGGGATAAAGAGCGTCAGAACCTGAGTTTTGTTCCGTCGTTCATCTCTTTTTTTGTTGTTCTATTCTTCTAGTTTATAGAACTATAATTCATTACTATCATAGTCTTCACATAGAATGAGTACTAGTGTGAATAGTATCAGTTTTTTCAAGTACAAGTATAATTGATTTTATTATTTTTAATAGTAACAACGATAGTTTCTCAATACTGTGGGAATTAGTCACCAATATCCTGTCAGAATGAAAAAATGAATATTTGGATTTGATAAGTGCAGAATGAAAAACCAAAATAAAAAGGACTAAATAAGACACAAATGACAACCAATACGTAGTGTGGGGATGTCTAAATTGGGTTTTAGATTTTAGACACCGCCACGCAATTATCGTTTTTCATGTGCTCTCATAGTTGTCCTATTTATTTCCCTTCACACAACATAGTATCACATAGTTTTGACAACCATCAACGACTTCCACACAAACTTCTTTGGACTCAGTTTCGATGAGAAAATCTTCCGCCCCACAAACGGCGTATTCCCGTAACATTCATTAATCGCCACATCCTCGTCAAACAGAATGCCATTCCGTGTCTCAAAGAAGCTTCCCAATCCAAAGATCTTCAATTCCTTATCGGTCAAGTAGTACGCTGGACCATTTCCCTTCCACTGCATCTTGTAGATCCCTTCGTTATAATTATTTGCTATCGAAAACACAAAATGACGTGAATCGACAATTTGCTGACCAAATGATGATGGGCTTTTCTCAAAATATGCGCCAAACGTCTCGCCACTTGTCATCTGAAATACAAAGAAGAACTGGTCGAGGGGTTTGATCACGTTAAACATGTCGGTGAAGTTCTTAGACCCCTTCGCCTCAAACACAATAACCGCGTGCTTCTTCCCAATCGCTTGCAATATGCCTTCTATATGACTCTCGATGAACGCAGCGGGTTTCATTGAAAGTGCTTCTTCCAGTGTAACCGCTTTTATATCTTGGGACGGGGTTTGGTTTTTGCTAATGGTTGGGACAACACAAGAGGGTCTAATACTCAATGGATCAGACTTTTGAAATAAGTTCGCTGATTTAGTGATACTCTGTGGCTCTGTGTATTGTGGAGACAATGGACTTTGGGGGTAGATTGATGTAAAGTCTTGTTTGGTGAATTGGACCTTTGTAAAACTTTCGATCTTCTTACTCAACTCGATGTTAGTCGATGAAAGACTTTCAACGCGTTGTTGCAACTTGTTGATGACAAACGAGAATGTGATGTGTGGGCATATTTTTTTGAGTAACATAAACCGCGGGGAATTTTCATCTTTTGCACTAAGGGTTGAGACTATTTGTTCGACTTTCTCAGTGTCCTTGTTTCTTATCAAAAAGCGAACAACAACCTCAAACACGGAATCATCGTCTATACCACATATTTTGTCTACACTGAAATCGTTACACGTTTCTACGAAGCAGTCGATTTGGTCCGAGTCGATGTTATAAAGGGATTTCAAAATATTATTGATTGCAGGGTCCGAGTCTTGATCTGACAAATAAAGTAATGCCTCATTTTTGTTGGAGATGGCATTCAACACAGTATCAGTGAGTCGTTTATCAAGTTTCGTCACCCGACTATTGATTAGATTCAACGCTTGGTTGATATCCATTTTAAATAAAAGTTCCCCCATTTTTTTCTTTGGTTTTGAGGCAATAGTTTATGGATATCTATTCCGTGTTTTATGGGTTTTTACTTTGCTAAAGATAAAATATAACTAATATTTTATCTTAGTTATATTAGTTATATATAATAATTAAAATTTGTTCAATATATGTTAATTGTTCTGTTTGGTGGTATTATAAAGAAGAATTTGCCTGGATTATTGTTTTGATATCCGTTTTTATTCTTTCTTATTATGGTATTATATTCTTTAGTAAAAAAAATTTTAATAAAAATTGTAAATTAATATTATAATGATCTATTATATAGAAGTAAAAGTAAACAAACCCCTTTCTATAGTAAATATTATTATAAAATAGAACTAAAAGCAAAAATATTATTTGAAATATTTAATTTGTATTAACACTTTGTAGTTTACGTTAAACAAAATAAAATAAAACATCTTTTTACCTCACCCTTTTTATAAACAAATACAGTAACACGAAAACCTGTCGCGAAGATTATTATAGTAAAAAAATATAATAAAAAAACTAGAAATGTACTAAGATTAAACCCGAATAAAATATTTGATTTTCATCCTTTTATCGGATAATTTTATCCGTTTCAATTGATTTTCTTCAATAATATTTTTTTACAATTCCGTTAAAAATGAAATAAGGTGAGTGGAACTAAAAAGAACTCACAAATAAAATGAGCATGAACAACGTCAGAAGAGATGGAGAGAAAAAGGATGACATGAAACTAAGGTGTGAGAAAGACTCTCTTATGAGTCAGTTCATTGACTATGCATTTTTGGGAGGGAAAATGGAGGGAATTGACCGGAGAGGACAAATATACTTAATGAAGTCACTGACTTCATCAGTCCCTTGGGACCGAATTACAAATGATGATTTGGGGAAAGTGTTTGGAGTAAGTGGTGCGACAATCTCGACGCAGTTAATGCGAATGGAGTTGGAAATGGAGTACGGACCTCGGAAAAATGGGCGACCACCCCTTTTAAACGAGGAACAGAAGAAGGCGTTATTGTTGGAAGTGTCTGGTTGTATTGAAAGGGAGCAGGCGGTAACAGTACAGTACTTACAATTCTTCTTGGAGAAACAATTTGGAGAATGTTTTAAACGCGAGGCAATTTTGTATATACTCAAGAAGGAGGGATTCATTTTGAGGTGGGCATTCCCTGACGAAACAAAACGCCTTGAGATACCAACACAGAGTTTTGTTGATTATTTTATTGGTCTTTCGAAGACTGTATCGGGTGTCAGGAGGTGCCTTTGTTTCAATCTAGACGAATCTGGATATCAAAAATGGGCTGACCGCAAAAAGCTCAAAGTCTTGTGGAATAAAGATGATATCAAAGTGCTGAAAGTTGGAGTTCGACGTAATGTCAGAAGAAGCACCTTTCTCGCTTGTATCAGCGGAGAAGGACCAATTCCAGGAATTCTAATCACTCCGACCTCAACTTGTACTCAAACGCTTGTTAATTCTGGGCTTATTGGCCATGTACTTTTAACAAAAACAGAGACCGGATTCATAAACAAATCAATTTTTATGGATTGGGTCTTTTCCGTGTTTATCCCGAAAATTTACGAGAAACGAATGGAACTCGGAGTTGGTATTTATGAAAAAGCTGTTTTGCTTATTGATTTGTGTTCTTGCCATGATGTTGAAGAGCTAAGGAAAGTGCTTGAGGTCCACAACATCATTTTGGTGCCTCTTGTTCCGCACGCATCCCATGTTCTTCAACCTTTGGACATTAGGGTGTTTGCGGTTCAAAAAGGTATTATCCGAAATGCTCAGGTTGTAGAGGACAAAGAGGATATGCATGATTCTCTTGGAGGAAATGAAAAGAAAGACAAAGGTGAAGGAATTGATGGCGAGGAATGGATGAATGAAAATTGGGAAAAAGAGGAAAGTGAAGTGAAAGTGAATCGATTTGAAAAGTACCAAATTGAGATACTGACCGCCTTCCACAAGTCGACTTCAATTGTATCGTGCTCTTCGGCTTTTAAGGGTGCGGGTATAACATTCAAATACGACTCGGAAAAGAAAGAGTACTTTTGTCAAGTTGATCCCTTCAAGTGTAAAAGATTGAGGGAAGAATTCCCTCTCCTTTTCAAGGATCTGAATTTTATTTCCTTTTTTAGTTCAATAACTCCAATAAAACTAAAAAGAAGGTTTAAATATGAAGACCTTCCAACTCCTAATGTTTCTATAACAGCTATTAAAGTCTGTGAACTGCAAAAAAAAACAGACTCATCAAACAAACGATCTAAACATCGACGACGAAGTACAATTGTTGTTAGACTGCGAAGTCGACGAACAAATCAACCAAGAAAGTCTGTCTAAAATACGTTTGTATTTGAAGCCCGAACCCCCCAAACCCAAATCTACAAGAGGAAGGAAAAAAGGCAGTAAGAACAAGACTCCTGAAGAAAAATTAATATTAGAAAAGAAACCAAAAACCCAAGAGGTCGACCCCGAAAAGCAAATTAACTCATTTTTTGTTATTCCCTTTTGTTATTTGTTTTTGTTATATATAACATAATAATAACATTTTGATGAAAAATACCAATTAATTTATTCGTTTTTTTCAAGACAGGTTTTTTCGAACGAGACACCTTTTTGTTATGACTGTAATAAGATAAAATTATAAAATAAAATATGGAAAAAAATAAACTCACGATAAATGAATTTGTTATTTTGAAATACAAAGTTGATATTTTAAATACAAAAACTGAAATTGAATTGCAAAATGCTCAATTCGCTTTACTAAATCAAAAACAAATGAATTACTACAGCGAATTAATTAAAAAGGGGGATTTGGCAAGTATGAAAGATAGCCAAACTGAAAGTTATCAAACCAATCAATTGGTTATCATTATGCAGTCAATACAACACAATACAACAATAAAAAATATCATTTCTATATTTCGAGGCAACGAGTTTGTTACAGCAACCGATTCCAATTGTCAAAATAACGTTTATGTATGTTCGCAAAATGTTGTGAAAATTAAAAAAAACGAATTGTCACTCCTTCGATGCCATTTCAAACAGTAAAACTTCTTATGTAAATAAACCAAAAGGTAAAAATACTAAGAACCAACACAGAAAGATTTTAAACTGCGTTCGCGTTAAGTATAATTTCGGGATTTGAGCACTAAAAGTGTGTCAATATCTGAATTGAATTGTTCGCTCTTCTCGTTCGTAATTTAAATTTCAATTATAACAAAAAAGAAACAAAATACAATTAGTTGTTTGTTATGAAAAAATAGTTTATCTTATCGAGCCCGACTTTTTTCCACCAACTTCAATTAAATATATTGAGAATCTTTTTCATAATTGAAAAGTATTTAATGTTTTAATTTTTCGTTAATAACTTCAGTAATTTATTTTTTGCAAACTTTTGATCTTTTTTACTTGTTATTAATACTTGTGAGATTGAACTTGTTTGATTGAAAATGATATATCAACCATATAACAAAACAAATCGTTTTTTTGGGAAACTCGGAGTAACACATCCCATTCAAAAAATTCAAATTGCCTATTTGTGACAACTTCCATCTATTATATAATGGAGATGATCAAATCTCCAGTAGTCTTGTTGATGCGCTTCAATAGAGTCTCGAGCCTTTCATACTCACAATTGGCGAATTGGAGGAGATCCAGAACTGAATAATTCGAAAAGAAGTTTCTTAATCAAGTTCGGTTCCATTTTTATGGAAAATAAAACGCTGTTTTTAGTCTTTGTCAATCAATTTATAATTATAAAAATAGAATAAGTGGTAATTCCAGGAAAAACAAACCCAAAACAAAAACCCAAAATTGTTATTTGGGCATTTTGGCCAATCATTTTTTTGTCAATCAATTTATTCTTTATCGTGTAATTATTCTGCCTCTTGTATTCAGCCTTCTGTATACCTATTAGTGTCAATTTTTATTTTGTTATTTTAATAATCAGTTTTTTGTTATTAACAATATATTTTTTGATAAAACAATTAAAATATAAAATAAAGTGTAATACAGATGACAAAAAACCATTTTTTGTTTTTAATACAGTAAAACAACCTCTCGTATGCAGGTTAAAGAAACACATTCTTTGATCTCATTTGCTTGAGTTTAGAAAGATAATCTTTCAACATCAACAGAAGTTGGATGAACACATACTATACACTGAACAACACTTTGTAAATTTATTAATTTAAGTTGTTCTAATACATCATAAACTTCAAGAAGTGTAACTCTTTGCTTAGTGTTTGTTAAACGTAGAAGTTATTCACGAAAAGGGCTATGTGATATTTTTTTACAATTGGGTCTTTTTCAGAAGAAGTCATTTTATTTACATGACCGATAAATTGGATGATTTCATTTCTAAAGATTGGCCTAAACGAGTAACCATTTGTCATATATTCAGGTAAAACATTCTTTACAACTACTATTATAAAAATTTCCAATAGAGGTACCTGGAAAATAGTCCAGCACTGAAAAAACGACCAGCAAACAATAAATGAGTCTAAATTATTTCAAAATATATTTTTTTATTTTTTAGACCAAAAATAATAATAAATAATTAAATATTATGGAAATTGTTGTATAAAATATAAAACCTTCAATTCATTGCTTGAACAACGTTGTAGCAATGACTCGGTATATTTTTCTAACCACATATCCAAACAACATAATAGCAAAACCATAATTTAATTTACTCGTCTTTCCACTCCAATGCGACAAGCCTCTCTACGTTAATCAACGTGTTGGTAGTAAACACAAAGTATTCCTTTCCGACGATGTCATTATACACTGAGGTGAATGATGGCGAAATGCTCCCGGACTTCTCGCGAATATAAAACGCCCACCTCACTGCCAGGATCATACCATCGTCATCTCCCTCTTTAAATCCACTAAAATTGATACCAACAGATGGTCCATTCCAACTTTTCTTTGTAAACTTTGTTGGTGGGCAATCCTTAGAATTGCGCAGGGTGAATACAAAATGTGTTTGGTCGTCCATAATAAACCCTTCAGTCATATGTGCTGGCATTCTCTTTGTGTTAAAGCTTCCGAACAGATGACCTTCTTTTGTGAAGACAAGAAACATGATGTTTTCTTTCAAACACACTCTGTTGTTGAACGTCTCTCGATTTAATCCATCAAACTTGGAGTTGAATATCACGTTGTACTTCTTCTTTTTTGTCCACTCCTGTAAAAGAGGGAGATATGATGCTATAATTCCATTTTTCAAATTCTCTTCTTTGTCTTGCTCTAAAGCACTTGTCTTGTTCTCAAGTTCTTGTCGCTCTCTTCTTTCTTCCTCTTCTTTTCTCAATCGTTCCTCGTCTTCAACAACTCGTTGCCTTATTTCCATTGCTTTCACTCCTTTAAACCCTCTAATACTCATATTTTTCTCATCTTTATTATGTGTCCCTTTAATCATAAAGGATTGCCGAGGCTCCAATTCGACCGTTTTATTCGTCGAAAAGTGTTTTTTTCTTTTTTGTTTTGACGATTCACAGCATATGCGTGCGTCGCCTGTCTCATCATTCTTTGTATTTTCAGTTTCTTTCAAATTTTCTATTGTCATATCTTTCTGAGTATTTTCATCATTTTTTTTGAAATCACTCAAAGATGGTTGCCACATTTTAATTGACTTTCCTTCCATTTTATGTTCCTCGATAAAACTCCCTTTACTAATTGTGGGGTGCTCATCTATGACACCACTTGTGGGTTGTTGAACATGCATTTGTGTTTCAATACAACTGCTCTTTTGCACTAAACTGGAGCTCCCAAACTCCTCGGAATTGCCAAAATCATCAAACCCACTATATGAAGACTTATCTTCTTCAAATTTTGGTGTCGTTGTTTTGTCGGATGACTCAAATGTGGTTTGAAAATTGCGGGGCGCCGACTTCTCTTCGACAACTGGTTTTGAGGGGAATTCGTCATCTTTAATGCCATCGGCCATCTCAACTTTTTGTGGAAGCAGAATTTTCTCTGCTTTTTCTTCCTTCTTTTCTTTGTTACTAAATTTGGACGGTTCAACTAAACTGGGCTTCACACTCCCATCATCGCTATTAAGACCGTAGCCCAACTCAAAGCCAAAGTCCGTCTGTTTTGAAGACTGTTTGAAGTCGGACAATTTCAGTTTGACTCCGACTCTTTCAGTCTCTTTGTTGTCACACACACACTCGCATGACACGTCAGACCCCTCTTCTGCAGAACCAAAGTCAAAGGTGCCCGAGTCGAGTTGGGACTCAACTGAATCTTTTGGGGTGTTTAAAAATGGATTATTATCGTCATCCGAAGTTATAGTGTTTTTGGACGGTAATTGATTTTGAATAGGAGTGTCTTCGGTAATAATTCCTGATTTTGAATTGTCATAAACAGTTTGAGTGGGTGGTTCATCAATTAATGGTTTCTTTTCTTTTAACTTTGGTTTACTCATAAGTGTGTTGGATATACCAATAATGTGTTGCGCCTTTGGTTGTTGTACAGGGGAATCCGAGGCACTTTCATGAGCAGAGGTGGTGATGAGGCTCATCGACAAGTTTTTCAAAAGTTCGAAAACTTTTTTAGATTTTTTGTTGTAAATTGAAATATGACAGTCATATATTTTATTATGAAACTTTAATAAATCTTTGATGTATTTCATCTTTTTATTGTTTATTATTATATTTATAGTCACCTCTTTTACTGTATGTATCTTTGGTTTGACAAAGAAAGGAAATAAATGGTGATATTCCAAAGACTATTGACACAATGGGTAATACATTGAAATTCAGTATTACAACCTTTAAACATTATATAGACGTGATATTGATATTTAAATTACTTTATAGATAAGAAGAATCTTGAATTCAAATTTGCTATTTTTAAATTGTGAGTTTCTAGTTTAAAAAAACTCAAAGTCTAGTTTAATAAGCTTTTTATTGTAATAAATGGTTTAATAAAATATAAAAATAGAATTAAAACTAACTAATAAGGATATTAAATCAAACCATAACCTGATATTAAGGGTTTTGCAGAGAAAGTGTGGGTGATTAAAAATCTCTATTCTGCGAACTATAATTTGACAAACACTCATGAAGGAGTTCTATATTACCGCGACACGTGCCGGCCCATCGTCCGAAGTTTTCCGTTCCAGAGTGTTTGCGCCAAATTTTGTCGTCGCAAAGAGCAAATTCTGGATGATGTTGAAGAAGCAACAGAAAATTAAGAAGGCTGATGCTTCACTCCTTGAGTGCATTAGAATTTATGAGAAGAACCCAACCGTCGTTAAGAACTTCCAGATCTTCTTGAGATACGTCTCATCCGGTGGAATTCACAACATCACCAAACAATACAGAGATGTCACAAGAGTCGGTGCTGTCACACAAATGTACAACGACATGGCCTCCCAATACAAAACCAGACAAGACAAAATCCAAATCATCTCCATCTCCACAATCGCTGACAAGGATGTCAAAAACCCAGTCTTGAGACAATTCGTCGGTCCACACGTCAAATTCCCACTCCTCCACCAAAAACCAACCCTCGTCTCCAGAAGATATGCTCCAGCTTTCAAGGCAGGAAAAGTCCACACCAAAAAGTGCTAAGTCGTGGTTAATTGTCGGTTTTTTTACAAACCCTATTTTTTGCTATTTCTCGTTTTATATCTTCTATATATAGTAATTTTATTAATAAAGATAATATCTATCTTCTCTCTGTATTATTAATTATTAATAATATTATTGGTATCATATAAATACTTATATTATATTATTGGTATCTATATTTATACTATTAATAAATACTATATATTATAATATATCAATATTATTTCGAATAGATCGATTGTGATTATAGAAAAGAACATAATAAACTATATAAAGATGTCGGGAACGGGTCGTATGATTGAAGTCGTTTTGAACGACCGAAGTGGTCGGAAGATCAAAGTCAAAGTCCACGAAGACGACACAATAAAAGACCTGAAGACGGTCGCTGCGGCAAAAACCGGAACCCGTCCAGACAAAATTAAAATTCAACGAGGAAACAATGTATACCAAGACAACATTTCATTAGAGAGTTATGAAGTAGTCGATGGTATGTCTCTTGAGATGTATTATCATTAACTGAGTTGTTTTCTGTTTGTGTCGTGAATAACATTTTAATTTACAAATAAATGTTATTCTATGTATTAAGAAAAAAGTGATTCAACTAGTAAAACTGTAATCTATATTTTAATAGTAAAAGTGTTATAAAGGAGTATTATCTTCTCCGACCAAAACCTCATAAAAGTGAAAATTATTGCAAAATTGGTTTCTTCTCTCCGGCCTCGGCAACTTTGTCCTTCTCGATTTGTTGGACAATTTGCGAGAGTTTGTTGTCGTCAATCATCGTCATTTTAAAGTCGGGTGTGAAGACGGCGATATCGATGTTATTCTTACTCTCAACCACCTCCAAAAGTGCTCTCACAACAACAACAAGTGCTTTCTCGATGTCCATATTGTCTTCAAATCCCTTGACTAAGTACTCGTCGACTGTTTTTGCATTACGTCCAACAACATGAGCTTTCCATTCAGTCCAAGTCCCAGCAGGATCTGTTTGGTAGAGTCTTGGAGTTCCATCGGGGTCAAAGCCTCCAATTAGTGTCGAAATACCAAACGGTCTTGATCCGCCTTGTTGTGTATATTTTTGTTGGTAATTTGCAACTGCTTTTGTGACATACTCAACTGTTGGAGCATCTTCCATAGACATACGATAGTTTTGCGCTTCAAGACGAGCCTTATTAATTAAGACGCGGGCGTCTGCGGTCAACCCTGCGAACGTTGTGTATATGTGTTGGTCGATCTGTTGGATCTTTCGAACAGTTCGTGGGTCTTGTAACTTAGCGATGGACTTCTTCTCAATTCCAAAGATGATGCAATCTTTGCCTTTCACACCAACAGAGACCAATCCTTTACTCACCGCCTCCAAAGCGTACTCGACTTGAAACAAGTGTCCATTCGGTGAAAACACGGTGATCGCTCGGTCGTAGCTTGACATTCTTTTTTTTCGAGTTTGCAGACTTTTTTGAGTTTGTCTTGAAGTTTTTTATTCACTATTTATTGTATTAATCATTTTATTAACTAAACAGTTATATTCGATCAATGTTAAAGAATATCAATATATTATATTATCATATTAATTAATAATAATAATATTATTATTTGGTATTAGTATCAGTATGATTAATATAATTATAATATATTTTATTAATATATATAGAATAACTCAATTATTACACAAGTTGGTTGAATGGTATCACGTGAATGAAGATATCGGCTTGGTTGCGTTTGTGATCAATTGATTAAGTTGATCACGCTCAAATGAGTCGAGCCGTAATTGAATCGCAACTGTTTCTATAATTGACTTTATTAGCTTTTCTGGGACTTCAAGAGTAATCATCATTTTACATGCAAAAAAACACTGTGTTGATATTTTTGGGAACTCTTTTTGAGTGTGAAAACTCTGTGGGAATGACTCAGTTTTGTCCATTCGATACTCCATTAATAATTTTTTATTAGAATTAATGAGGTGCTTTGTTATATTAATCCAAAGGTCTTTGTTGTTCCAATAGGACTTTCTTTTTAACACAAAAAGAAGTTCCTCAAACCCGTTTTTGTACGTCATTTCTTCGCAAAACAATACCACATATTTGAGTGAAATAATATCATTTTCTCGTGCAGCTGTTTCACAGATTTTCAAAAGAACTTCTGTCATCCAGCACATCTCTATTTCGTCTAAGACGTAACACTCTCGATTTCTCTTCAGTTCCACTTTCTTTGAAATGAGACTTTGAAGAAAGAGGAGTCGCTCTTCTCGACTTTGAACAACATTTTCAATACAATCCATTCGAATTTGTTTTGTTTTGTGATTGTTGTGATTCACAAAATCCCTGATGAATGTGCTTCCCTTTGTCACTTTTTGGATTTCAGGAATTTGAATGCTTGAGCCCTGTTCTTCCATTTCATATCCCTGTAGCACGGGTATTACATATCTTCCACTTCTCACATATTCATCAAACAAAATGTACCTCTTTTTATTATACTGTTCCAAAAAGAATTGCGTATTTTGTGATTGGAAGAATGTCTTTAAGAATTCGTAATAATCGTCTGGTTTAGTTGTGACAAATTCCTCGCTATTGAACTCTTCAATAGACTCCGGTTCAAATTTTAATGTCCAAAAATACTTTTCCAATCCACTCAGTAAATAACACATCGCACGTAGAAAACTTCTTTGCAGTAATGTGTTGCGAAGAACAATGTCATTCTTGCAGTACGACGAGTTAATAACACTCATAATGTCATTCACCAAATTTTGTTCAAGATGATAAGGAAGTTCTAATAAAGGTTTTCCACTCACTTTCTGCACCTTATTCTTCTCAATGTCAACAATTACAACATCTTCCTCTCTCATGATTCCAATCGCTTCGCTCAAGTACTTCCTAACAATCCCAATCAAATACAAAGAAGGGGAGTGCAAGCTTTCTATGAAAAATCGTTGCAAATTCATGTTATATGTACTGACCCATTCGATGGGGTATATCACTGTTTTGAGACACTCCAAAGTTTCTGCCACAATGTCACACGTATCACCAACAACTACAACGCGCTCGCCCAACAACACTTGTCCAAATGCCTTCACAAAATTTTTGATTTTCAATGATATGAAAAGATGGATGATATCATATTGTATTTCATGCATCATTCCTTCTTTGGTTGCACTCGGCTTGCACTTTGTGAAATCTTCAAACACCTTTGGCGTACTCTGTACTTTCTCACAGAACAGTTCTAACGCACTTTTCGTATGAATTTTCTCGACAAATTCACGCATCTGCACATAACAATTCACTCTAGAAAACACACAAATGGCTTGTGGTACATAATAATCGCCCTCAGCCTCTACCCACCGCCGGACTTCATTTTTCATATCTTCAGTCATCTTTGCGTAAGAAATCAAACCAACTCCATGTAGATAATTCCCTTTGGAATTGGTAAGTACAAAGGAAACAACTTCAAAATTCTCATGTTTCCTTTTGACTCTCATACCTTCGGTAAAGCACAACATCCATACAGACTCGGGTATCAAATCATCATCACATGGATATTTGAAAGACACTAAGCCACTAAATGGAATGTCCACGATGTTGTCGTATGTCACTTTTTCAGAGCAAAAGTAGTACTCCAAGTCTTGTTTAATATCATAAATATTCACTGCGCAAAATCCACAAAATTGAGATTCAAGTTTTATATCACAAGGTGGAGAAGGTTTTGAATGTATCAGAAATTTTGATCTTGATGGTGTTGTATACGTTTGATGCACTTCATATCTCTTTGCGACTTTTCGAGTTCTTTCCGAGTTCGGTGGCATTTGAAAGAACGAAATTCTTGTAAATAATTTCCCAATCTCTTTGTTACCCTTTTTGAGTTGGAACACAGACTCGTACGGTTCGTCGTGTGCTGTTGGATTTAAAGAAATGATGCACTTCCCAATTTGACTCTTTTTCTTGTTGTGATCATTTGGGATGTTATAAATTCTTAGTTTGACGTAAGTGGAAGAGGCCATGTAAAAGTTAGTTGATAGAGTGTATAGTACATCATATTCTCTTTTATTTACTCCTTCACATTTTGGTGTCACCCAATGGTGTTGTGTTGCATTTGAAATTCGAATACACATATTCACTTGAACGGGTAAAGAGACGTGAAATATTTCAAGTAAATAATATAACGAATAGTTCATGATATTTGGCAATTTTGTGAGTAACGAAGTGGTCTGACTCTTTGTGATTTTCATTATACGAAAAAGAATTTCATCGTCCCATTGTTTTAAGATTTTTTGGCTTCCAAGTAAGTCAACTTTTTGGTCTTTCTTTGCTATTATGATCAACTTGCTCAATTCTCCTTCAACTTTTCTAATATTTGCAGAAATTATTTCGTCAATCCCAATATCAATTAAACTATCCCCAACATCTTCTCCTTTCTCTTCCAACTCTTTACTCATAAAGGGGTATATTAATAAACTAGTTTGTGTCAAAACCCAATACGTTGGATTTTTATCATCATTTATAAAGCCAACATGTTTCATTTCTTTATTAAGTTCATTTGTTCACACACTCTATATCAAGTCGATTCTAGTATTAAAATAGTATAATTTAATTATAAAGTACTTTTTGTTATTATTTTTAATTAAATTAAACTATAAAAGTATGTTTCTGTTATTTGTTTTGTTAAACAAAAACCAATTAAATATATCAGAAAAAACTACAATTCACAAAAACCATTATTGAATTTTTTTCCAATAAAATAAGTTTCTTGGAACAAATTATATAGTATTATTTAATAATAATAATGCCAATAAAACAATTTATAGAAGAGAACAATACTATAAAATGCTAAAAAACAAGAACTACTAGTTTTGATAACAAAATTAATTTTGGGGTACAATGTCTTTAGAGTCGACAGAAATTGGTGTTTGTTTTATTTCCTCGTTTGAGCTTGAGGTGTGTTGAACAATTTTGATCTCGTCACTTTTCTCTCTGTTTGTCTGTTGTTCGACTGCAACTGTGTCCAAACTGATTTTGACATCCGTTGGGTTTGCTCGTTTTGATTGACGCATTTTGTTGATAGGGAATGCGACGTGGTAGACGATTTCCTGTAATATGATGCAGACCAAGACGGTTGCTGCTGAGACGTAAATCATGATATAATCATTATAGAGATATGTGCAAAGCAACCCACTAGTAAGTGGTAAGATACAATTCCCAAACCCTGAAATACACTCGGAGATACCCATAAACATCGATTTGCTGTTTTCACTCGCGCACATCGAGTAATATGTTGAGGTTTGATATGAAAATCCTGCAGCCAATCCACCCACAAATGCCATAAACCAATTTAAATAAGCGTTTCGACTGACTCCTATCACTAACAAGAACAAGATATAACCCGTCTGGAATATCAAGAATAAACTTCGTTTGTATGTCCAAGCGAGTGTTATTGACATCGCTGCCATTGAAACTGTTTGCGCCAAATAAAAGAAGAAGAATTCTACCCCAACATACATGTCTATCGTTTTAGTCGGAGACACCACTTCAAGGTCTTGCGCTAATTTCACATACGAACTCGTCACAATCGCAGACGTACCATACACTCCACATTGCAATATGTATCCCAAGTAGATGTATGTCTTGTTCTTCAACTCCGCATCACCCCACTTGAATTTCATTTTGTGCATCTCAGCCGTGTCTGAAGTCACTTCAACGGGAATTTGGACTTCTTTAATATCACCACTTGGTGGTGTAATCGACGATGCGGTTGGATTTTGAATAAGTCCCTCAGGAATGTCTTTACGGTCCAATGCAATATCAATGTCAGCTATATCTCCGTTTTTCTTAGTCTCCATATGTTCCATTTCAACAGCTATATCGCCGGGTTCTTTCTCTTCTTTTGTACTATTTTTCTGTGATAAATCAATTGATACCTTTTCCTTGTCCAAGTCTTTCTTTGGTTTCTTGTTTTTGGCCATTTTCTCACGAATTCGCTTCGGGTGGGTAAATGGGTACACTACAAAGAGAAGTGCGACTAGCACTATACACACATACAGTGAATTCATTCCTAGAGCAGTTTTTAACATCCCACCAAATAAAAATCCAAAGCACTGAATGTTATTTTAATTAATATTTTAATTAATTAATTATAATGATATAATAAAATAATGGATACTATAATTAATTGATATTTTTTATATATTTGGGAGAGTATACTTTAAATAGTTTCTTTTCTATACAAAATTATGTTCTATTGTTGCTAGAAAACTATTAGTAAATGAATAAGTATCGACAAACACACCTTTCCAAAAGACCACGAGACTTGAAATAATGAAGTGTTTCTATTTTCATAGCCAAGTGGCGATTCTAACCCAATGGTTCCTGTTGCAACCGGCCAAAACACAGCAGTGCAAAAAGGCCAAATACACACGGACACATATAACGCGGGGATAGAGCTTGGGAATATAAGAATAACAGCAACACCTATGATGAAAAAGACAAAAGAAATTCGGACCACAATGTAGGGGTTGAACTTATCACCGATTTTACCACCAATTGGAGATAAGACTGAATATATCACATAAGCTACTGTTTGTAGTAAAGACAAGTCAAAGGTACTTCCACCTTTGTCGTTCATAATTAAAGGTACAACCAACCAATAAAAGTAATTCGCAAAGTTGAATATAAACCCAGTTGCACAGCACCTGGGGAAGTTCCAAAAAATACTTAGCGCAGTGTCTCGCACTGACTTCCAGCTTCTCGTCATTACCAAATATTTAGAAAGTCCTTTTTTATCTTTTTACTTCAGTAATTAAGAGTTGCGTAGGCGAGTTTGGAGCATTCAGTTTATTGTGGGGGCAATTATCACTTTACTCTTATATACCCGTTTTGTAGGGATTTTTTGTGCTTTATTTATTTGTTATTGTAAAAAATCAGAAAACGTCGATTATTATATTCTGAACTACTTTCCACAATGTCTTTAGTTTGATTTCTGCTTTTTTGAAAGTCATATGTATAAATACGTTTATTATAATTATTGTTTATTAGTGATATAATGTTTTTTACTATAAAGTGTTAATTCAAAAAAAGAAATGAAAAATGATGATCAAATATGCTATTTTAAAAAAAAATACAATTTGTTAAATATTGGATAAAAGTAATTAAAATAACGGGAAAATGCCGAAATAAATGTTTGGTTATTTCTATTAAATTTATAAAAACATTTTATTTTTTGAGGTTTCTAAAGGAAAAAACTACCAAAAATGAGAAAAAAAACAATAATTAAGTATTGTAAAATAGTTTTTAAATTGAAAATTAAAAGTTAATAATTATGTATTATTTTTTGAAATCGAATGATTTTTTAGATTAAACGTCAAAAAAAGTCTTCTGTTGTAAGTTTGTAAATTAATATTAATATTTATTATTATTCATTTTGATAATATAGTCGGGTGATAAAGGGGGTTAATTTGGGACAGAAGTAGTTAATTTGAGTAAAAAACTATAAAATATAATTTATTTAACCATAAAAGTATTAGAAGGGTTTTTTCAATTAACTACTTTGAAAATAATAAAAGAAAACCATAACTATCTATTTTTGATATTATTCAATCTTTGAAAACAATGGAAGAAGAAGAGAAAGGAACCCTTGATGAAATAACCACAGGCAATCAACATAAAAAAGCAATTTAAATACAAGAAACCAGTTTAAAAACTGTATTTCAATATATATTCATGATGTATATGGTTAAAATGCCAGAGTTTAATGAATTAACAACAGTGTCAATTTTTGAAAGTGTCAGGGAATCACTGAAAAATCATCATTTGTTATTTCAATCTTTCAATCTTTCGTTGTTGAACCATTTCCATTGAGAAAAGATAAGAGAAAGACCATTTTAACATAAAAACAATTGGAGTTGAAAAAGAGCAGAAAAGAAATGAAACAAAGGAAAAAACAAAGGAAAAATTCTTTAACAAAACAAGTTTCAGACAAACCATAAAAAGTGCTGCGTTTTAGACTTCCACATTTTTTAAGTGAACAAATTGAGGTGTTTTTGTTTATTTTTGAAATAGAAATTTATAATTATTCAATTTATAATCATTTAAAATAAAAAACGATAATTTATATTATTATTTTAATTTTATGTTTATTTTGACCTTTAAATAGATTTTTTAAAAATTATAGTTTCAAAATTATATTTATCAAAATTAACTACCTTTGTCCCTTTTTAATGCCATTTATCCCCCGACTATAATATTTATTTAAATATAATAAATATAATATAATATTATTAAAAAATTTAAATAATATAGATTAAATAAAAAAAAAATTAGAAAAACTATAAAACCAATTATATTGGTAATTATAAAAGTATGATTATAATAATTGCTTTAACTATTTAAGTATAATAATATTGTTTTTAACCATTTTTATTTATAATTTATTATAACTTGATTATTATTGATATTTTAATTATTTTTAGTTTATACAAAACCCAATAATTTGGCTGAAAAAGATTAAAAGATTAAGACTTGTGTTTCAAGTTAAAACTAAAACAAAGATGTCCTCCCAAAAACGTAGTATAAAAAAAATAGATACTATAAATAATAATTTAAATAATTACTTTTTAGTATTTAAATAATGAAACAACTCATTTGAGTATTGAACACTTCTTTTTCTTTCTGAATTGAAACTGTTAAAACAATAGAAACTTGTTGAATTGCAATAAACCAATTGTAATAATATAACAAATTATACTAATAGCATTTGTACAAAGAAGATCAATTTTCAAACTTGAAAAATCAATTTTTCATGCCAGAAAAAGACAAGCGTCTGATACAACTTCGTCGCAATTTGCACAAACTAAGTAAATCATTAGAGGACGCGAAGTATGACCGATCTCATGCCACAGCTCCTTTTAAAGGCTTAGACAAAGTCGAGCATTACTTAACTAAAATTACTGAAGTGATGTCAGATAATACTGTTATAACCCAAGACTTCTCTCCTGAACTTATTGTCGAGTTTTTAGATTGTTGGGACGCGATTTTGGAACATGTCATTCGAATGCCGCAACACAAATTGATCCCAAATCTGTATATTCTTATGTGCCAAATCGTCGAAATCAAACAACTCCAACCGATGTCACTCGCAGACTTCCCAGCACCCGACGAGGTCTCTCCGCAAATCGAAAAGCTCTTGGTCTTTTATTACAACAATTTGTCAAAGACGGCGTTGTACTGCTTACTTGCGTTGTCCTCTGCTGAAGAGGTCGAAACTGCTGAGAAGAGAGAAAAGAAGTCTACGTCTCTAGCTGCTTCTCCAGCCAAGAAACGAACGTTTGAATTCCAAACTAAAGTTCGGCCGTTTGCCGAAGACTTTTACGAAGAGGCTGCCCGTGTCTTTGTTTTAGTTTCCATCAAAATCACATCTTTATATGAAAAAGTTCTTCAAACGGTTCGTTTTGTGACTGCGGGGAAAGTCCTCGACAAAGAAGAAAAGGAAGAAATATTAAGTGAAGAGATGAAAGAGAACTTCCCCGTCTTTAAGAAGTGGGAAAGTTATGAGAAGTTCATAACAGGGAAGAACAAACAGTGTTTGAAGTACTTCACTGCACTGAGTGAATTTGAAAGCTCGTGGTTAGTCCATTTTGAGTATAGAGGACGCTTTGAAATGCAATATATGAGATGTTGGATCGAACATGTGACTTTGTTTGCAAAGGAGTTTGGTTTTCATGAATAGTTCTCAAACCATTGAAATTAACCATTAGTGATATTAAAGAGTTTCCCGGCTACAAAATCTTCCACAACGAAATCCTCGCGTTAACTGAATTCCCAAGTGACATGTTCTCACCTTCATTTGTCTGCGCGGAAGCATTTGGGGCATTCAGTTTAGTTGACGAAAATGTGTATACCACTGTGATTGAAAAGAAGTCGAAGAAGACGAATTTCTATGACGTGGATGGGATGGGCGATTTATTGTTAGTTGAGCATTTTATGTACACGTATTTCTGTAATACCAATTTTGAAGTCCCGAAGTTTAACAGCGATCTCTTTGTCAAGATTCATACGAAAATTCTTGAGAGCGACTCGTACGCATTGACATGTTTGACTCTATCTACCTTGTACCAAGCACTTCTTTGTGTCAGTTTTGAAGACCGAAAGGCACTTGTCAATTACGTCCTTTCAAAGAACTTCTTTAATAAAATGTTTTGTCATTGGAATCATTACGTGCGAATGTTTTTCTGCGAGTTACTCTTGTACAGGTCGACGATGTCCCCCTCATGGAATCGAGTCAAAACTAACACTTTGCTTCCTCCGGAAAAGAAGACGTACGACGCAGCAAAGTTGAGTGGGTCCGACATGCTCAAATTCGACCAAAACACGCTCGACTGCATCAAGCAGAACATCTCGAATTTGAAGGCCGCACAGAAGAACCCAAACCTCGTTGCAGACAAAAAGGTGATTAAGTACGTCCAACACGGAATAAAAGACTACGACGCTGAGATGAAAGACTATACTGCCTGGGAGAAAAATAATCCGTTGGCCCCTTTGTATAACATGCTCGAGATGACTCGACTCAACAGACTCGATCAGAATGTGATGTAACCCACTTCTTTTTGTCTTTGCCAAATCTTTTATTTTTATAAGAGAGACTTTTATTGTTTTTTTTGAAATGATGTTACCATTTTTAGTTATTTATTAAATTAGAACTCTTTTTGTGTAAATTAATATTTAATTAATTAATTATTAATTAATATCTTGTGGTAAAGGAATCAATCAAGAATGAATAACACTTAGAGAGGATACTGTTTCTCGATGACGGTCTTGATGGCTCGCAGCATTTTAGCGGCGTTTTTCGATGAGATTTCAAGACTCTGCTTAAGTTGGTCGTCAGTGCACTTTCCTTTCATTTTCATCGCAGCCATCGCATTGGTGGTCAAGTCCCACGCACTGAAAACCCTCCACTGATACTCTCTGGAGTCGTTTGCATCCACTACGATTTCGTATTGCCCATTTGCATTTTTGAACCCAGCTACACACATCCCAACTACAATGGACTTCATGTCGACACCACTATATAATAAAGACGTCATTGTCGCGTTCATCCCAACAGACTCGACGCAACCATCGTCTTTCACCGTTTGGATACAAACATTGATTAACCCTCGGGGGTATTTTTCACATAAAACAGCCCACTCGACACCACTCCGTACAAATTCCTCCAACTCGGTTTTGCGTTTTCCTTGTTGTGCAGCGACCTTTTCATAGAACTGGACATCAACGTATGCGGTGTTTGGTTGTTCTTTGCTTTTCAAGGTATTTCGTGGCGCGTTTACACCGGCGATAACGCACGTCTTGCCTTGGTGAAACATGTAACACCCGTCGGACTTTGTGTTGACCTCGCGTTGGTACGACAACGCTCTGATCTTCCCCGATTCTTTTGCTGTGGTTTGTTGTGTTACCTCCACCTGCATTTGTTCTGCGAGTTGGCATCAGTAAACAAATAAAAAAGTAAAAATCAAAATTCAAACTTATTAAATAAAAACTGAAGTAAACAATTTAAACCAAAAAAGTTAGTTGGTATAGCATAAGAATTATTAAATAAACTAGAAAAGGGCTTTGAAACCCTTGAAAAAGGAAAACGAACTCTCCTTGTAGTCGGTATTAAGGATGGGCATTACCCGAGACTCGATTCACAAGAGACGTTCCACTGGAGGAAAGAAGAATATGATGCAGAAGAAGAAGAAATACAACATGGGTCGTCAGCCAGCCAACACCAGACTCGGCGCAAAGAGAATTCATGACGTCCGTTGCAGATTCGGCATTATTAAGAGAAGAGCACTTAGACTTGATGTCGGATATTTCACTTGGGTTTCACAAGCCATGACCAAGACCGCCAAAATCTTGAACGTCGTCTACAACGCTTCCAACAACGATTACGTCAGAACCAACACTTTGGTCAAGAACGCCATCATTGAAGTCGATGCCTCCCCATTCAGATTATGGTTCCTCAAGAGATTCGGAAAGGACATTGCCTCCAAGGATTACATCAAGTCCCTCGAGACTGAAGGTTACACCGCTGACAAGAAGATCGCCCTCGCCAAGGAGGAAGACGTTAAGACTGACGCCAAACAGACTGGCAAAGAGGAATCAAAAGAGAAGACTGTTGCTCACCAAATTGTTGAGACTCAACTTGCTTTAATGAAGCCATCAAACACTATGAAGAAGAAATATGCCTCTATGCTCAAAGTCCTTAAGCACGTCAAGTTCGAGGATGCCTTGATGGAGGGCTTCCAGGCTGGAAGATTGTTGGCTTGCATCTCATCCAGACCGGGCCAGACTGGCAGAGTTGATGGATACCTCTTGGAAGGAAAGGAACTCGACTTCTACTCAAAGAAGGTCTCTGAGAAGAAAAAGTAACTGAAATACCGATTTTTTTGTTCTTGGGTTTCCGCCTTTTAAGTCTGTTTGTTCCAACACATGTAATCTCAGCGTACAATCGTTGAGAGTGATAGGGTTTTCACATTGTGATTGTTTGAATTCTTTCAACTTGAATAACCACAAAAATAGTACAAAAAAACAATAAAGAAACTATTAATAATTTGGATTGTTTTGGAGGAACGAAGTCACACAAGAGCGCATTTTTTAGCCATAAGTTTGGACGTTGAGGGCGGGTCTGTCAGCTGAAAAGAACCGACGTGTGGGCGACGATTTAAAATAATGGTTTCAACCATCGACAGAAATAAATTCGAAACGTTCGTGTTGAGTTTTGAAGACGTTTCAAAGAAAAGGAAGTTGTGAGGTATCATTTGAGAAAACTTCTTTTGTATTTCTTCAGTGCTACGCGTTGAATAAAAATCCCTCAAATCACTCTTTGTCAAACAGAGAAAAAGGGGGACATGACTACGGAATGAGTGAATAAGAAAGGCGTCTTCAAGAGACGATTGAAACGATTCATCGGAGTCAACAGAAAACACCAGAATGATTCCGTCTGACACTTTTGCCACACTTTCAATGAAAGGCAACTCGTGGCAGTTTGAGCAGTTTAAATGAGTGGTGAATTTCTTCTTGTCAAACAACACGACTTTTTCGACGGCGTCGTCGAACACATTTTGGTCCGAGTGTTCGCTGAATGTCGAACCTGTCAGTCGTTTCATTAGACTGCGTTTACCGGTCATGCTATTTCCAATGATAAATATTTGTAGTTTATTTGTTGAACCGTTCATTCAAAAATGAGATTCCCAATTCCTCTTTGACCAAAGTCTTACTAAATGTGTCGTTGTGTTGTATATTTATTAACAGAATTAACAACATATTTCATAACACATCTTGAAAGGAACAAAAAATACATTATTCAATTTACTAACAATAAAGAAGATAAGACAAGCCCAACGTTAGCTCTGTCTTTTTGCTCTTGATCCCAGGCCCTTTCAATGATATCTTCGACCTTTTTGTTTCCGACAATATCTAATGGTGGTCTGTAGTTTTTTGCGATCAGTCCAGCCACGTCCCAAGGGAATAAATTGGGGAACGAGACGAAGGCGTCGCCCCACGTGAAGCATTCGTACATCGTTATAGCAAACGAGAATATGTCCGCTTTGTTTGAGTATTTCAGTCCGTTCAAAATTTCGGGTGCCATGTACTTTGGCGTTCCTACATTTCTGGTGAACGTCATGTTTGTCATCATCCGGTTGATGTTTCTCGACGCCCCAAAGTCGGTCAACTTCGCGTTGACTTGTTCGTTGTCTTCGTCCAACAAGGAGACAATGAGGATGTTGTCTGGTTTAATATCTCTGTGTAAGATTCCGTTATCGTGTAAGTACTCAATTCCCTTCGCAGAGTCCACCATGAATTTGACTTTCAATAAAAATTGGATGTCCTCTTTCTTCGCATTCGCTATCAAATTTTGGAGTGATCCATGCTTCGCGTATTCCATGACAATGCACGTCTTCGATGGGATGAACACGGCTCCCAAAAACGTGATGATGTAATTACACCGAAACTTTTCAAGCATCTTAACTTCATTCTCAAAGTCACTAAGATCAGTGCCCTTCATTTGGGCATTTTTGACCTTTTTGACTATCACATGTGCAGCACGGAAAGTAGCCAAATAGACTGTTCCAAATGGTCCTTCTGCTATCAAATACTCTTCTTTGATCTCTTCCGGGTCCAATTTCGAAGAAAGCACTGTTTTGGCTTCTACATTCATCAGAAATTTCTTTTCGTTGCACGTTTTCAGCGATTTTGCTATTATCAAAATTTGTGTCGTGACATGGCACGAGCAATATGGTTGTATCGTTACAGAGAATTTGCACGCCATGTTCTTCTTTAACAACGCGAAATCGGGTGAGACGGTTATTTTGAACTTCTCGCTATTGATCTTCGGAATGACTTGCACCTTTTGAACATAATTCCCGACGTTTGCAATGTGCACCATTTCTGTCGACTCGTTGTCAACTTCAATTTCAAAGTCTTCGTTCACATTTGTTTGCTCTTTCGCAAAAATTATTTCCTTACGATCGCACACCACATTCTCCGTGATCTTTTCTTTCATCTGAATGTTGCTCTTCTTGATATCAAAGATCAAGTCTTTTTTCTTCGTCGTCTCTTCCGTCTCAACAGCGTGGATGAACGCAATCCGCCCAATAACTTGCCATAGAATAATCGCCACAACTCCAACAACTAATATGACAAAGAATATCGCTATAAGTGAAATCCACCACAAACTCCTCTTCTCACATATTGTACCATTCGATGATGGTTTGTATAAAAAATCACACGAAACACATTTGGAACCGTTGATTGTCGTGCACTTCTCAATTTGGTCAACGCACTCCCCGTTTATCAACACTTTGTCCGAAGCACACCCGTCACACCGTCCCGGTTTCGTGCATGTATAACATTGTGCATCACATTTCAAACAGACTTTACATGAACTGTAATACCCATCTTGACACTTCTCGCATCCATTTTCACTACTTATCTCGGTCGCACACCCTACAATCTCACTCTTCAAACGACACACCGACTCACATGACATATATCGTTCACTGTTACATAATATACAACTCCCGGATTTCACACACGTCGCGCAGACCGGGTCACACTTCTCACATTGAAACTCAAACCGGTAATACCCATTCGTGCACTTCACGCACCCACCTGTTAATTTGTGGAATATTTGACACTTCCCAATTAACGACTCGTGCAGATAACACGTGTGGTTTGATACAAATGAAGTCTCATTACAAGAAAGACATGTTTTGTCAGTGCCAAAACACGCTGTGCATGAAGAATCGCAATCAGAACAGTCTTCGTACTGTAAGAATGTGTGGTTCCAACACCTCACGCAGTGGAGACTCTCTTTTGATATTTCACAGTCCTCAGTTCGATTCACATTACACTTTTGTTTGTCAAACGACAAGACCAGATCTGTCGAACACATGAGGCATTCCCCTTCTGCTCCGTATTTTGAACATCCTTGAATGTCTGTGACACACTTCCCACCTTCATTCAATGAATATCCATCCTCACATTTGCTACACTGCTCATAGTCTCCAGAAGTCACCGTGCATTTCTTTCGACATAACCCATCAACACCAACTTCATATTCATTGAAGCATTTCTCGCATGAGTTCTGTGTGCACAACTTACAATTTGAATATTTACTGCTGCACAAGACGCACGCGTTGTCCAATAAAAAGTACTCGGGATAACATGAGACTATTCCTAAATTGGAAACCTTTGTACTCAACACGTCCGAAACACACAACCCAGAGTCGGAAGATTTGGACAGCATTGTATCATTGGAACATATCTTACATGACGTCGCTGAACACGTCGAGCAATTCGCAAAGAGTGTATCGCATCGGTGACACTCGTCGTCCAACAAATACCCGTTCTCACACTCCACACAAAAGTCTCGTTCCGTCTGTTTACATTCGGAAATAACAACACACGTGTTATTACTCAATTTCGAGTATCCGTCCTCACACCGATAGCAAATCCCTTTAAATTCGTCCACGCAATGAGGGACAGTTACCTCGCACCTCTCCGTCACATTTAAGTGTAACCCAAAGAACGAATGACAGTATTCTCCTTTCAAATTTTCAAAGACTCTATAATATCCTTTGTTGTAATACAACACTATCAGTCAGTTCATTAAACCATCTACTATAATAAATATTAATTATTATGGATTATTAGTATTTATACTATACTATATTAATAGTATAGTATATATATAGAATACAACAAACTGTGATATAACTCCCGTTTTTCGTCATCGTTAAACATAAAACCTTGAGAGAACATGGCGACTGAGGGGGATGTCTTAAAATATATAAAATGTGACTGGCTGTTCGAATTGATAGAAATTCCGTCCAACGTTTTCTCAACCTGCAAAACGTCTTTTTGCACTGCGTGTTTTCTTCTCAAATCGTTTAATGAGGTTTTCCGTGAAGGATCTTCTGGATCCATTGAAAAATACACTATTTTGGCGTTAGTCCTGATCTTAAAAGTTCGACTATTTGGCTGTAACCCCATCCGAAGTCCTTCATTTGCAGTTTCTGGGACAGTATAAGTCAGCCCGTCACTCTCAAACTTGACTTGTATGACTTCATTGAAGTAATCCGACTCATTGACTTCTCGAACATTGTGAATAACAACATCAGAATGTCGGAGTTCTTTGAAAAAGCCTTCGACGACCCCAGTAACTTCAACTCCTTCATTGATAACAAGTGACTTCATTGGCTGAAGGAACGCGGCATTGATATTTGGAGTATCAACAGTGATTTCAGACTCTTTGTTGAGGAGTTGAATGGCGCATCGACTGTTGATCGTCCGATTACACGGGCAGTTGATTTGTGTGAACGAAAAGTCGTCGTCGCCATATGTATAATCTTTCATCACATTGCCAGACATCAAACACGTCAGTTTGTAATCCATCATATTTGGCGGACACATTCGAATCAACACATCGTCGACTCGCATCGTCTTGAATAACTCCGACTCATAATTCGGCTCTGCAAACACGGCCGCGTCGAAGCAGTTTTGTATCTCCGAGTAACTAAAGATGTTCTTGTCTGGGACTTTCTCCTTCAAAAAGTTCAAAATGGGAATTTCTGGGGTGGGGAGTCCAGAGAAGTTGAAGACATTTAAATTGATGCAGTCGACTATGAAGATTTGTCCGTCGCCATTTCTTTCAATATCAACTTGGAGGCGTTGGTCCAGTTTTTCAATCGTTACACGTGCGTTCGATTCGATGGACAACAACACCGAATTACTTGGGGCGATATTGCCATTATCAAGTTTGTTATCAATCACCAAATTCTCGATATACACATTTGTTTCTCCGTAAATGTAGACTCCCCCACCCGCGATAATGTGAAGATTTTTGATTGTGACATTCGACGAACTACCAAATGAAAATGATTCAAACCCGCCAATAGTAACATTTTCGAAGTCTCCGGTATTCTGGAAATGCGAGACGTAAGTCAGAGTTTGTTGATTTTCTCGTGTGTAATTTTGTGATGTCAGAATCGACCCATAAATATTGCAGTCGGTGTTTATTATCACGTTCGAGTACGCATAGAGAAACAAGTTGGTGTATATCGACTGCACAAGAGAAAATGTTAATGTGGAAGTGTCATACAATATGATGTTTGTGATGTTAACAATATCATTATAAGTAAAGTCAACTTTGGAATTGAACCCGCCAATTTCCATTCGTGTGAAGTTCCAAAACAAGTCACTCGATGATGACATATATATCCCATCCAGACGAACAATATCACCTTCAAACGAATTGAATGCTCGTGTGAAAAATGTCGACGGTGATGTCATCACAAATTGTTTGAGGACAAATGTGTTGTTTTCGTTGATCCGCAAGACCTCTTGAGCTATCTCAAAGTGTTCCGAAGACACGCTATTTCCATCCACGATCGTCGTTTTCGAGCTCGAAACAAATGACTTCGTGGTAATGACATTCCCAAATTCAATTGTGAGTGTGAGCCGAATGCCCGTCGTGACAACATTAGCTTCAAGTGTGTTGTTAGCATTAAGAAAGAATGAGTCACCCATCAAATCCAAATATTGATCAATAACAATCGTGTTACTTCGATTTGCAAAAAACTCAACTTTATCCAATGTACAATTTGTTGCTTTGAGTGTATTTAAATCGTACAATTTGAATTCTGTCATATACAATTTTAGAGCCACTGTTTCTATTGTGTTGTTTGTATCGACATACACTGAAGAGAATGTCGTTTCGATTTTCGACGCTTTCAAAATATTTGAAGTGTTCAAATAGACCATTGGGGTATTCGAAAACAAGACTTCCTCTCCTCTAATCGTGTTGTCTTTGAACGTTGTAATATTTGAATTATCGACAATCACTTTTGACGCACTCAGTGTGTTTTTCGTTTGAAAGTTGATTTGAGACGACTCGACTTGAAACACGTTTGAAACGGTGATGTGGTTCTGCACTGTGAAATCAATATATGAGTTTACCACTCTAAAATCGTTACATTCGATTGTTGACTGTTGTATATTCAAAATAGTATAATCCATGGCTTCATTTGATCCAACCATTTTAATACCTTCACTATCCCCTCCAATCGTAATACTCGTCGTTCGTATAGTGTTGTTCTTCCCAAACAAATTTGTAGCATTCGAATGACTTACAAACGTCGAATTGTCACCTCCGAGAAACGAGACGTTGTCTTTCGCAATGAGTGACGCTTGACTCCTCACAACAAAATGTTGAAAAGAAAACACCATGTTTTTGCCGAGTGTCAGAACTTGTTGTGCACTCAACACTATTTGTTCAATTGTGATGATCGAGTTCTCCCCAAATTCAAGAGCGCCCCCTCCACTTTCCGTGTCGTCCAAATATAAAAAAGTCTTTGTGTTGAATATACACCCCTCACATATGACAACTGGCTTCAACGCATTATACAGAAACGCATTGATTGTCACGTTAGACCCACCTTTGACCAATAACGTTGCACTCGATTTTACACTTATGGCATTCATATGAGTGGAGATGTAAAATATCAGACTCGCTCCATTCTCTATAGTAATGTTATTTGCCTCCAATTTCCCATATATCGATATGACGGGACTATCCATAAAAAGTATCTCTTCCCCGCACCTCAACGCCGCGTCTTCCGATATGTATAAAGCAAGAAAGGAGACTTCTTTGACGCAAGTTAAGTCGATCGTCCCGCTTAAAAGTTTGACGCGAACCCCCGTGATTGTGTTGACTTGATTACATGAGATGTTGTTCGTAATGGTCATCCACTCGTCGTTTTGTTTGAGACTTGTAAGTGACTCAACGGGCACTTTTGCGACGTCCGCGTAACACTTTGTCGAAACAAAGTGTACCAAAATGATTAGCGTTGTGATCATCGTTTGGTCGAGGCAGTTCCTTTTTGGTTTTCTTGTTTTGTTTCAATTTTGGTATAATATATAGTTTCCTTATTATACATTATAGATTGTTGAGCTTGCTTGGTTTTTTTTCTGAATGTTTTTAGACTCACATTTGTTATTTTTTACTATTAAAAGTACAAAGTGGGAATAGTGCTCTATAAATAAATTTGGTGTATTATTGTTAATAGTTGTTTAACTATAATATAATAGTTTTTTTATCCCCATTTATGTTTTCATGTTGAAGAATTGAAGCAAACACGTAACAAAAAATATCAAAATGAAGCAAAAAAATCTTCGACAAACTGGCTTAGAAAGAGGACACAAATTCCTTTAAAAAAATTGTTCTTGAGTTGTTCAGTCAAACAGTCCATGGAGGAGGAAAAAGACTGGGATGAGTGCTCCAATTTGTATGTTAGTGCCAACAATGAGCTCTACTGAACAAAATACAAGAAAAGCGGGTACAAAAGAGTACGCGAATCTCTTCAAGAATACAAGCCAGAATAACACCAAGTAGACTCCAACAAAGATACAATCCCTTTGCATCGAAGAGAGTACAATGAAGTCTCTTGTGACATTGACCACACTCTTTGAGCACAACACAGTTGATATAAAGAATAGTGGTGTTAAAAAGATCTTCTCCATTTGTAACGCCCCATTCACAAAAAATACAATGAAGAAGAGAGCACATACAAAGTAGAGTACTTGCTCTATTACATTACCAGAGACGTTTAATACTAAGATGGGAATTCCTATTATAACAGAGATGACTGTAGGCACGATCAATAATGTTGCCAATTGAAGCTTTTTGTGTAATAAACCACACGCGATTAAGATAAGAAGAGCTGGTGGGAATGAAGTGTTTTCCAAGTTAAATATCCACATTTGGAATATTTGTTGAGTCTTTGGGAATACAGAGGAGAGCACTGTGAAGTAGCCAAGTAACGTCTTTGGGAGTTGTTCGATTGGTTTTTTCACCAATTGGAGTGTGAAGTCGATAATTGAAGAAATGGGAAAGGCGTGTTCGGATGTTTGAAATGTTAAGAATGCGATGTGGAAAATTAGTGTCGAAACAATAACCAAAAAGATTCCCAAAACCTTTTTCTTTGTCGCGAGTATAGCAATGGAAATGACTAAAGCCATACAACTCGATACCAATGTGACATAGTTTCCTTTCAATTGGTCGACTTGAAAATAGTTCATCACGTGGAAAGCAGTTGCTTTAGAAGTCATCACTGTTGTATATTCGTCTTGAATCAAGTCAGGAGACTCTTCTGTAGTTTTAATAAATATGAGGAATAAGAGAATGCTAGTTATTAAATAGATGATGTTGCCCATACTAATTGTGGTGAAGTGGTTCTTTAAGTTTAACACTTTTAATTAATCAGAATAGAACTTTAGTTCTTGAAATTAGTTTTACTTTTTATAATACAATTATTTATATATTCTAGTTTCTATATGTGAAAAAGTGAAAAAAAAAGAATAGTATAATTTAATAGTTACAAGTATTACTTTTCGATTTCAATATTGTGGTATTGGATACTATTAAATATACTGTTATATAGAAGAAGTAATAATAATTGTAGTAATCACTTATACTCAATAGAATAACACATCACACTCAATTTGATGGTCCGTCCCAGTCTTTACTATTCGCTCTTTTGAGCGCCACCACGTTTTCCTTTTTCTATATTTGAGTGCTTCTATTTATCCATCTCTTTACTATAGAGTCATCGTAACAAGTATATCATATATATCAACAAACCTTTGTTTCATAGTGAGTATTCGACGGCTGTTCCCATACGTCATTAATAATTATCGAACGGCTTTGGTCAATGGCTAAACACGATTGGAACAGTCTATTTTGTGTTGCCTCCCATATCATGACACGGTTGGAACTGTCAATGATTTGGTACTTGTACTCAAACGGTAAATTCGTAACTTCTAACTCGATCCTCCAATTGTTGCTCGGCGTCCAAGTCATTTTGGCACCATGTTCCCATTCACCAAGTTCTTTGCATGACCCAACAACAGCAACAGAATATCCAGGAACTGTTTTATAGTTAATACAAAAGACAAACTTTGTCATGTTGTTCTTTGCTTTTCAAGTTTTTTTTTTCTTAGTGCTCTTTTTATTATCTACTATAATACAATTTACTAGTATTATTACTATTTACTTCTAATTCTTTTGTATTTTTTTTATTTAATTTAGTAGTATCAAAATACTATTTCTTTATATGGTTGTTAAATTAAATAATTAATTGTTTGTCAAAATGAATTGTTTAATTGAATAATTTAATATAATATATTATAGTTTCAAATGATAAAAAAGCAAGAAAAAAGTGTTTGTTTGAAAGATGAAACTCATTATTTTTTTAAACTAAAAATTTATTCCTCAATGTTTTTTAATAATAAATTAAACTATTTTTTTAATTGATCACAATTAAATTTTATAAATGTTTTAATCGTTTTAAAATTAAATAAATGTTATTGGTTTTTAGTAAATTTAATAAAAAGTTGTATTTAATTTTATAATAATTTTTAAACTTATATTATAATAATAATTATTATATTTTATTGTTTTTAAATTGATTAAAAAAAATATTTTTTTTGATACTAATTTTGGATTTGAATCAAATAGTTGGAAAAAACTAAAAAAATCATCAACTTTTCCTCACAACTTTTCAATTATTAAAAAAAAACTTAATTATATTATAATAAAATATTTTCAATAGTTTTGCCAAGAAATTATTATTTATAAGATTTTATAGATTTTGATCAATACTATTTATATTACCATTCTTTAAATAGACTTAAATAGTTAAATTCAAAGAACAAGAAAATTCAGAATTGTAACGAAACATTTCAACTTGAAAAAAAATAGTAAAAATAATAAGAACCAATTAATAAAGAAATTTGCAACTCATTTTTTCAATGCTTTTGACTCTTTTGTTCTTGAATGTCTTATCCAAGGCTGAAGAATTCTTTTCTCAAACCCGGTTAAACGGAGGCGAGTGTATTGGGGATGTCATTGTTCGCCAATCCAAAGCAATAGACATGTGTCAATCGACAATATGTTCTTTTGGCCCATTTATTGGACAGTCACAGAAGTTGTCGAATGAAGGAGGTGTCATCACAACAACGTGTTATGAACTTCCAGACTGTGAAGGTACGAATGTAGTGGAAGGACAATTTATCAATGAAAAGTGTAGTGACCTTGGGTTAACAAGTATTGCAGAGAATGTCCTCGAAAATGAGAAGAACAACTATGTCCAAAAGCGCCGAGTAAATAATGAGAATGTTACAATTGAAAAGTTGACCTACAATAAACTCAGTTGTGAACCACTTGATGGACAGTATATCAAAACATTTACTGATGGATACAAAGGTATTATAGCTGTATACAATGACTCTTCTTGTGACCATTTGATTCAAAATGATGAATGCCTCTGTGGTCAAACGTGTAATGACACAGCTGGATTGTACATAATGGAGTGTTATAATAAAGACATAGAAAAATACACATTAGATAGATTTTATGGACTCGATAGTTCATGTGAAGATGTTGGTTTTGAAAGTCAGGTCATTCTGAATGAGTGTTATCCATCAAATTGTCGAAGTGGTCCATTTAGTGGGGTTTCCATGATGAAAGTGGTTAAAGATGAAGTTGTCATATTCCAGTGTTACAAATCAGAAAATTGTACAGGAAATGTGAAAAGTGTAGGAAGTATCTCTTATACATCAAAATGTATCACTTCCGTCAAAGGAGGTTCTTTATTTGGTGTTATTCAACCGACAGTACCTCTTACTTATAAGTACACATTCACAATTGCAAAATATTCGGACAAAGAATGTTTATACCCCATTGAAATCACCAATTACAATTCAATGAACTGTAGTGATGTAAATGGTTATAAATATTCTGCACTTGTTGAAGATGAAAAAGTAAATGTTCAGATTTACTCACAGTCTTCGATGTGTATGGGGACTCCGTTGTCTTCAAATACCTACACATGCAACACGGACTGTGTTCTAGTCGGTGGAAATTACATTACAACGTCTTGCAACTGATTTAAATCAGTTTTTTTTTGTTATTCAAATAAAAAAAGTACTTGAAAAACAAAACACATTTGAATTTCATTGAATCAATTTATAATATATTTTATAATACATTTTATTATTTTTTTTAAATCAATAAATTAATAATAAATAATAACAATAAACTCTTTTTTTATTTATTAATTACAAATAAACAAACAGTTATTTGTAATTAATACAAATAATTCATTTATTAGAATTATATAATACAATAAATATTTGAATTCTATTTACTGTGATATAAAAAATAATTAAAAATTATGATTTAAAAGCTATAAAATAAATCACTCATTTATGGAACAAGGAATCCAAATCCCCCCTTTGGTCTATACTCAATTTACTCCATATTTGTGCGATGACGTCCTGAGAGACGACAGTTGAGAACGTTTGAATCAACGCAGCCATTTGGAGTTTAGTGTCGTCCTCTGTATTTTCCTTTTCGAGTGCATTAGCGAAGTATAACACCAACTTGTAAATGTTATTTGCAACATTCCCAATTGAGATGATAGGAACGATCATCCCCTTCTTGTTCATCTCGTCGAGCATTTCGATCAACACGTCATACATTCCTTTTGTGGGGAATGCACCGAGCAACTGGCACATCAATTCTTTGCTTTGCGGAATTTGTGTGTAGTAATGTATTAATACATTTCCAAGTGTTAACATCACTTGTCCTTGCAGTTCAACAACAGCTCGAGTCTTCTTTCTGTTCAACATGGTTCCTATCGTTTCCAGTAACTTCGGGATGAACGGGACAAAGTTTTGGATCTCGTCCTTTGCAAATTGTCCCAAGAAGTAAATCGCGTTGTTTGCAATGTCCGTATTTGAGTTATGCGCAAAGACCAAAAATTGTTCTGTGATTTGTGGGACAAAGTCATATATTTTTCCATCGGTGATCACAGAGCCTAATATAGCAACAGCAAACGCTGTTTTATCATTCTCTTCCGTTTGCTTGAGGTATGACATCACACGAGGGAACAATGTGAATTGGAAAACAGGGAAGAATGTCTTCTGATGTGATTTACATATCCACGAGTTCAATTGCATCAACAAAGTTAAGTAGTCTAATGTCTCACTTGAGTCGTCGACAATATTGTCATATTGTTCCTCGTCCAAAACATTCGTATCAATTTCATTCTCAACTAAAACACCGTCTTCAAGTCCTTCCCCGTCTAAGATCTTCTTTAAAACCATATCAAAGGACTCGAAAATGTTTTTGATTCGATCCACATCCAATACATTGTCTCCCGCTAACACTAAAACTATATTCAAGCACTCCAAATAACTCACCAAATTGTCCGTCAAACTTTCTTTCTTGACTAACTCGCAGATGTGGTCCACTATAATATAGAAGAGTGTAATCGTTCGTTGCGTTTTCGTGTTTTGGTCGAGAGGAGACACTTTCATCATTTCGACGTATGACTCGAAAATAAGAGGAATAAGTTTCGAGGAGGTCTCTCGTAAAGTTGTGTGAACGTCATTCATCAATGGCAACAACACTTTAAGTGTGTCTTCAACATAATTGCCATACTCTCCTTTCAATGCAGTCACTATTCGGATCAAACTTTGAATCAAATAGTTCTTTTCTTGTGTAGCTGATGTCCGTGCATTGACGTCGTCCATGATCACATCGCTAGTATTTTCCTTCATTATCAATCGTTTTAAAATGAGAGTGACAACAAGTTGAATATACTGTTTAAATGGCTGGTCATTGTTCTCACAGAGCAAACATATCCCACTTAACACGGAAACCAGCATCGGTGACATGATCTCTTGCCCATTAGAAATCACTTCAAGTTGACTCACAGCAATTTGCCGAGACTCTGGGAAGAAACCTGGATTGATAGAAGCGTAGATGCACATCAGTTCGATGACTTTCCCCTTGTGTTCCAACGTTTCTCGTGTTGTGAATTTTGGTAAGAGGACGTCTATAGCTGTTTTAATGTTCTGATAGAACGGTTCCATCTTTTTCATAGCGACTCTGGAGAGAGTGATTAACACAGAAAGCGCATTTGAAATGGAATTCCAGTTATTTGTGTTGAGTGTCACAAAGACTCCTTCAAAGATTTTGGGGATAAAAGGCGCCAATTTCTCACTCAAATTTGCATCGTCTGTATCAAGTACCTGCGAGAATATGAAGCACGCTTTGTCTTGGACTATCGGAAGATGAATATTTAACGCGGCAATCACAACTTGCATGATTTGTTCAAAGTGTCGGCGTCGACACATCTTAGGGAAGCACTCAATTAAAGAATCCAACAACGACAACATCCCAAAGAGGACTAACCCATTCTGGTCGGTTATGAAATTGATCACAAGTTTCAACAAGTCACTCATCGTCGTCTTAAAAATGAATTTGCCGGGTTCTACACACAACGAAAGTGCAGTTAAAGCGGCGTACCGTTCTTTCCAGTTATTTGATTTTAAATACTCCAAACAAGTCGAAAAGAGGGTGTCTTTGATCGGAGCACCTCCAGCAGCACTGACTACACGAATTAACGCGTCCGCAGCATACGAGAAATTTTCAATATCAATTGGGTCTTCGTTGTTCAACATCAATTGTGCGGATTCGTCGTCGATTGTTCTCATCCACTCCAACAATCTCTTAACGACAATATTAATCATTGCGTTGTTCTTCTTAAACACACTCGCGTTGTTTTCGATGAGTACGATGATGACTTCCATTGCACTCTGTTGGGTTTCTTTGACGAGCGAAGTGTTTAATATCGTGAACATGTTCTGAGACAACTCACATTCTTTGCCACTAAATATATAGTCGGAGTTTTCTATTAACTGGCACACCGATGTTGTAATTTCGTCAAATTTGTCCTTCTCGTTCGCTTGGTACAATTGCAATACAACGGTTTGAATTGGCGCAAAGAGAAGTTTGCACGTGTTCCCAAAGTTTTCGGTACTTTCAGTTAACGCTGTCGAGTTTGCCAAGAAGTCAAGCACTGTGGTTTGCACTTGATAATTTCCACTCGCCAAAAAACTGGCACAAAGCTGGAGGAGTTGGGGGACGTACGATGTTAGTACTTCCCACCCTTTGAACGCAACTGAATTCCCTAAGATTTCTAACGCACACAATTTCTGAAACATTCGTTGGTCATTCAGGGTTTCCATAATTGTCGGGAAATAGGAAAACCAGTCCATATCATTGTTCGACAAGATCTCTGCAAATTGATACACAGAAGCAGCCACAACGGCTTTCATCTCAAGTTCAGTTTCTTGTTTTAAAAGCTGCAATAACAAGTTACACGTCATAGAAATGATTTGCTCAGGAACACTACGAGGGTCAATCAACTTTTTAATCATACGACCAAAACACAATAAAATCGACTTGCGGTTTTGTGTCGACTGGCCAGAGGCTGGAAGAGCAGCTTGAACTAATTGTGGCAAATTTTCGTAATTCGACTCAATCTGTCGCAAAAAGACTTCACCCTGAGCTCGAACGTTTGGGTTTGGAGATAAAGTTGCTTGGAAGGCCTGAACGATGTTTGTTGCCATTTACGACTATTTGAATAAAGGGTTTGAGTTGGCGCAATAAACCTCTTTGTTTTTTTTATTGGGTGTTTCCAACTAAACCCTTTTGACGTTTTCTTTGTTGGACCCAAAATGATGATTGGTTACAAAGATTTTTTAAAAGATATTTGAATTATTTTCTATGGTTTAATTACATCATACAAAACTATTTTTATCTTTGAAAATGGAATAAATCTTATTGCTGAGATTCATTCTTACAATACCCCCTCTGTCATGCACAAAGGGTGGTGTCACAAACTAAACAACTTTCCATTTGAAGTGTCTTCTGTAATCTCCTAAAACATATGGTTTGACAAGACATATGTCAAATGAACAAATACACAAACATTTAGTTTATTATATTATAACTATAGTACATAAATTTTGTACTAAAACTACCTATTCAAACAACAGTGTTGTAATGAGTCGACTTGATACCACAAGTTTAATGGTTGTTGTCGAGTACTTGAACGACATAGCCTTATTCCACAATTTTGAAGAAATTAACAAACGTTGCCAAGACGTGCTGAAGTGTTTTAAAGTGAACCCAGAAGTTAACCAACACATCAGCCTCGAGCTTTTAAAGTTGTTTCCCAACATCCAAACTCTTTCCTGTTCTGTCGAAGATTACATAAAAGAGGGTGTCACTCAGCCTTTTGAGTTGTATAAATTGAGAGTCGAGGCTGTTGCGATAGAAATCCTCGATCAATTCCATGACCAAATTTCCTCTTTGAAAATTGGTGTGTACAATGGTACGTCCCCTTCACTCCCAGAACATTTTGATCTCTCTTCTTATCACTTTTTAAAGCAGTTGGAGATCAACGCAAACACCACGGTGATATCCATCAACAGCCCCAAATGCCTCCAACGCCTCAAAATTGCCGAGTGCCGCAATCTAACGACACTTCACAACTGCAGTGCGCTAAAGTTGTTAAGACTGTATGATTGTAAACAGTTCTCCGACGTCGCTTTTATAACAAATTGTGATGAAATGACACGCCTCGAGATTATGAAATGCGGAACGATCAACATGTTGGATCTCAAAAATTGTCATTCACTCAAGCACGTAATCACAGCGAACTGTGAGAACCTTGTTGACCTGAAAGTGCCTGACTGTGTGACATGTCTTGAGGTTGACGGTTGCCGCAATTTACAAAATCTTGAGCTCGGTAATGGAATCACAGAACTCAAAATGTACTGTTGCCCTGTTTTAAAATCATTTTCACTTCCACAAAAAGTCAAAAACCTCTCACTTTCCGGGTTTGATAAGCTTGAAGAGATTGTCGGGGCGGAACAAAGCAAACAGTTAAGGCGAATAAAAGTGGTCCATTGCAATGAATTGAAATGTGAAAAATTCAAATTGCCTGTTGGTATTCAGGAACTTGACATTGACACAAGTTCTTGTCTTCAAGGGGACATCGACTGGAAGAAGTACTTGGAGTTGGAAAAGGTGAACATCGAGAATTGCTCGGGAATGGAAAGCATTGAATTACCAGCACACGTTCAAGTGTTTACAATTGATAACTGCGTAAGACTACAAATGGTTTCACTGCCGATATCATTAAAGAAAGTTGCGCTAACGAAATGCGACCTAGTGGACGAAATTAGAACTGACGCAAAGTGTGAAATTTTGGCGCAGAAGTGTATGTCGCTGATGAGTATAAAGGGGACGAACATCAAAAAGTGTTTAGTGTATGACTGCCCACTCTTAAATACAGAGAACTTGAATGAGCGAAACGTACCCACAATCAACTTGCAAAGTTTGCAGTTGTGAGAAGGACAGCGTTGAACTTTTTGTGTTGTTCCAATACAGTCAAATGGATTTTAATAATAAAAGAATTAATGTGGTTGTTTAATAATTATAGGTTCTTATAATTTATTTATAACTATAAATAATTATAGTTATAATAGTTTAATAATTATAGTTTCTTTTCCATAATCCACACATCATCACTTTGCGCGAGACGGGCATTTTCTTTAAACCCAAGTTTGTCGTAGAACTGTTTGGCGAAAGTATTCGCTACTTGTTATTCAATTCGATCACAATAAAACGGTAACAAACAACGAAGAACTAGAAGAGAGATCTTCTTGCAATGCGCCTCGCGACAGACATAAAACACAAAATCCATCAAAAGCGTACCAAAACCTTGGTGGACATACTTTTTGTCAATTTGTATTTCCCACAAATAACAGTTGATGTGATTTGCCTCTGCCTCAAACCGAATTGACGCAAACCCCTCTTCCATCACAATGTAAAACCCGCCACTTGTTTTCATCTCACAAATTTTGTTTGCATCGTTCCACCCAAGCGAAGAATGTTCATCAAAGTCTTTCATGTTATCTTTAACAAGTTGAAAACATCTTTCAAAGACACTTTTCGGGACGTTTTCTGTTTTATAAATTTGGGTTGGGTGTTCGTTCACGGTTGTCAAATCAATTTGAAGACTATTTGCGCGTTGTTCCAACAATTTTCCTTTTGTTGCATTTGGATTTACTTTTCTCATTAATTAACTAACTTCTATAGTTTTATTGTAGTTCTTGTTTTTAATTAATTCTTATAACATTTTTTATAACATTTTTATAACATTTTTAAACTTTGAATCTTAACTGTGTTCAAATAATAAAACGATAAATTTATAGTATAACAACTATAAATAATACTAATAATACAAGTCGCCACAGTTGTTAAGCTTCAAAAAAGAAGTGATCTACTAAAGAACACAAGATGTCAAGCCTTTTAGACAACAAATATCAGGAGCTTTTTAACTCCTCGAACGTCTTGTCTCCGGACGTTCTCTTTCTTCTGAAGAAATTTCAGAAGTCGAACGAGACAACACTAACAAGAACACTTGACGAACTCAAAAATCTCTTGTTAGACCCTTCCTTCTTGCCAACAACAAAAGAACAACAAGCGTTCAGTTTACATTGGTCTAACCTTTTCACAACACTTTCGACTCATAAATCGTCGAACGTTCGTCTGTCGCTCTTCTTGTGCATCTCCGATGGGTTCTTTGCTTCTCCACAAGGCAAAAACATTCTAGGGTTTTCAGTGAATGACACGATCTCTTGGTGGGTCTTAGAGTGTAGTGATTCTGTCAAAGAAGTTGCTACAGCGGCACGGAATGCGTTAGACAAATTTTCGATTGAAGGGAGACAGAGAATAGTGACGCAAAACACAACAAAAATATTGCGTCTCATAACCGTCGAGGAGTATGATGTCGTCTCTCGAATTGGGTGTTTGTCGACTTTACTCCCCAATTTGGATGTCGAGAAGCTCTCCGAATTTTCATTGGAGAACTTGAAGAGAGCAATTGAAATATTAATCAATTCGCACGGGTCTGTTCCCGATGAAATTTACTTTAGTTCCGTGACCGCAGCACTCAACCCGTGCAAAGATGAAGTCCTGAAGAAGAAAGATGTTCTCATCACCATAGTGAGTAAGTCACTTGAAGAGATTCAATCGTTTTCAAAGTCATCAAAACAGTTAATAGAATGCATTGTCACGTTATTGGAGTGCGGCGTTGACCTCCCCAACACATTAAAGAAATCTTTGATTGGGTATATCTCAACGGCTTGTCTTGGAACTCTTCACGTGTTTCCTGTGCTCAAGAGACTTCTTCCATTCATGAAGAAGACTTCTGAAGAGTATATAGAAGCAGTCGAAAAGGGGTGCTTTGATAACAGAATAAGAGGAGCGCAACGAGCCGTTGTTATCGTGCATTTGTTTGATGCCTTTTCTGCGTTTCAGTGCGAGAAAATCCAAGTCTTGTTGAGACTTGAAAAGAATCTTTTGGACGACCCACAAGCAACTTTGTGCGAAAGTGGGTATTCTGCACTGGGAGTCTTTTTGAATAAACTGAATGAAACACAAGAGATCCAAGGAGTATTAAGTAACGTGGTCACCATGATACGGCATTGCGAGGAAAAGGAATATGAGACACGAATAAAGAATCTGGAATTTATAGTGCAAAATAGTGTGAGAAATGAGTTCACACAAGGGTTCTCAAATGACCTTTTGAGAACGATGATTGAGAAGAATAGTGAAGATGCCCAATTCAATCTCCCCGAGATTGAATTATTTAAAATCATTTTGAAGGTCTTTCCAGCTACAGAAGACGTTTTTGAGATGATAACAAGACAATTCCAACACATTTTCATGTTCATCGTCGAACAAAACGTCAATGAGATTGATCTCATTTTGGATACCGTTGAGATCGATGACCAATTTTTACCATACGTCAAACATATGGAAGAAATTTTAGTTTTGGCGTTGAGGTATATGCCCTCGTGTGACGTTTCACACCTCTTGAAAAAATGCTTCTTCTCTCTTTTCCCCGAAAATTTTGGAACAAATCATTTGATTTACTTGGATGAGATGTTCACTTTACTTAAAACCGAAAAAGTCACACAAACAATCGTTTTGGATATCGAGAGTGTGATTCCCATTTTACTCAGAAATTTTAGAGAGTCGAAGAGTGTATTAGATCATATTATTCAAGAACCATGTTTGCTCACTCCTTTGCAATTAGATAACGTGATTTCAACGGCTACTCTTGACCACATCCAAATTTTCTTCACACAAAGTTTTGTCGACTTTGTTATGAAACACAACGATTACTCTCTTAGTATTTTTACTAAAGTATTAACTATTGCCACAAATCCTATCATTTTCAATTTGACGTACCAAAATCTCAGAAACAATTTGACTTTATTACTCCCAAAAATCATTGCAATTGTTGGCGAAAATCAGGTCGAAACGATGATTGAAAAATTGATGGAAGTCAACACATCAAATGTTTTCATCTTGTCTATCTGCGCTCAGATTGAAGAAGTCAAACAACACTGCATTAAAGTGTGCAAAAAACTTGAAAAATCAAAATGGGATGTGGAGAAGATAAGACAATGCGCTGCATTTATTCAATCACCACTGCTTATCCCACAACCAGAAGTGTTCAATGAAACATCAAGACCACAATACAACCACATTATATCACTTGTGGTATCGCTCTTCGAACTTTGTGAACACCCACTCAGTGACGAACAATACATGCAATTCTATTTGTTGGACGTGTACCAGAAACTCACCTTCTCAAATGTCATTGCACCACCTAAAGCATCACAGCTCGAAACTATTAAATTCTTCTTGGGACAGTCTCAACTCGAACAATTCATCTTGTTCCACGGTATCAATATCATGTCAAAGTGGTTCAACCAGTCACAAGAAGCTATTGATTACATTGCGCAGACCTTTGACAAGTCTGATGACTACACAAGCCGGTTCTTCTTCTCGTCTTACTTGTCTACTTTGCATGTGGAGTGGCTTGAAAAGAAAATTACAAGCACGATAAAGAAATTCTTCATGGCGAATGTAAAGCCAGACGGCGTTGGGTTGAAGGAACTCTCTGTTATATACCCACTTGTTCAATTCCCGTCACACCTTTCGGTGCTCTTTAAATATATTTTCAATGTAAGTATCACACAAGAGTTGTACCTCCCGTTCTTGCAAATTTTGAAATACTGTTTCTCGTCTTCATGCACACTGTGCTATGAGACAATCCAAGACATTGACACGTTGAGTGGAGTGTATCAATTTTTGATTGAAATTTTGGAGAAAGAGACTGGGATGATGATACGTAGCGCATTGCAGATATCACAGATTTTGATCACACACAACTTCCCAAGTAAATTGAACACTTCAGAGACCGAAGCCATTCAGTTGAGCTTTAAGATGTCTTTGATTGAGTACATCACTGAGAGGATTTTGAAGCGAGAGAACGTGCAGCTTTTGTCGGAAATACTTCTCCAAACAGACTTGTTAAGTGAAATTGACTTCTTAGGGACAACACTCCCAGAAAAGGTTGAGCAGCTTCTTGAGGTTGTAAAAACCGAGAACGAGACCATCTCAACGAAAATGTGCTGTGGGTACCTTCTTGGTGCAGCGATGGAGTTTAAAGCAGAAGAAGCGTATATTGATATGGACGATGTTGAAAAGATGAACTACAAGCCAATGAACGAGAAAATGGAGAAGTACATGGTCGATGGGTTTGGGCGCTTCAAAAACAAAAAGCCGTATGAGAAGGTTGGAATCATTTTGTTTGTTCTTGGCATGATGCGGAGAATTAAGGACACGTCTGTCGAGTCTCGTCCATGGGTTGTTGCATATTTGCAGTTACACAAATTTGAAGTCTTCCTTAGTGGGTTGTACTGTTTGCTCACGGACGAGCCAACATCAAAGTCACTTGGAGAGGTGTTGGGTAAAATCCAAACAGAAAGTGAAGAAGAGAGTATTGGAAGTCTTGGAATGTACTGTATGTTTACGGTTGTGGAGACGTTGCCGAATTTGGTGAGACAGTGGTGTTTGTCTTTGAAGAGGAATGCGCCGAAGATGGTCAAAAAGTTCTTCGGCAAGAACATCTGCCCAGCGGTTTTAGAAGAAGAGGTCCAAAAGATTTTGAGTTGGAAAGAGGATGAAAACTTCATGTTGAAGATGCAGCTCGATGGAAAGGCGGTTACCGTCAAATACAGAAACGACGATTTGACGTTCGAGTCACAATTAATCTTCCCAGACACCTATCCGCTTGACATTGTCTCGGTCAATGTCAACACAAATGCAGTTGGTGTTGGACAAGCGAAAGCACATTTATACAAGCGCATGTTGACATTGAATTTGATGACAAGAGACGTTGGAATCGTTGGAGCGTGTTTGTTGTGGAAGAACCAACTTGACCGACAGTTTGATAGCTCTGATGCATGCCCGATCTGTTACTCGATTTTCTATTTGCACACAACAACAATTCCAAATGTTGCGTGTAAGTGTTGTAGAAGGAAATTCCACAAGCAGTGCATTTTCACGTGGTTCAGGTCGACGGGAAGAAACGATTGTCCACTCTGCACACGAAACTTTTACGGTGAAAGTACACCAACAAGTAACACTGCTAATCAGAAATGATTTTGTTTGCTGTTATTCGTTTTGTTTCCTCAAAACTTTTGAGGTGAATTGTCATTACTTTTAAAACAAAATAAACAAATTATTCTAATTTTTGTTCATTTTATATTTTAAACAAAAAAAAGATAATGATGTTTTTTGGTATTCTTTCAATTTATTGTACTAATTTTATTAATTAAATTAAATTATAATAATGATACAACGTTTTAAAAAAGTTAAAAGAAGAGTAAAATGCTATAATAAAAACTGATAATTTCCCGATTGTGTATAAAAAGTTTTTATTAAAAACTCAATAATTTGTTTTTTCCTTTTCGAAACAAATTTTCATTTTTTTCAATTTTTGTGGAAATAATAAAAAAACATTTTTTTGCTATTAAAATAGTGATGTTTTATTTAAAAATTCAGGAAAAAGCAGTCAATAATACTTTTTTGAACCCTTTCCAACCCTTTTTATTTTTTCTTCTTTACGAAAAACTGACGTGGCGAAGAGTGTTACTGTACAAACTCACAATGAAATCAGAAAATATGACGAAAAGCCCGAAATCTTTGCAGAAAGTGATTTGACAAACGAGAATTACGAGATATCTGAGTGAACCAGAAAGAAGTATAAAAGGCAAGTTTTGAAACAAAGAAATTAGTACATGGCTGCACTGAAAGTCAACCCAAAGTATAAGCCTCGTGAAGGCCCCGTTGTAGTTGTCATTCTTGACGGCTTTGGTATCGATAAGGCTGGTCCTGGTAATTGCGTGACCTTGGCTAACCCACCAACCTACAACCGCATGTTGGAAGAAGCAAAGAAGGAGAACATGCACGTCATCATTAAAGCCAATGGACCATATGTTGGACTTCCAACCGATGCCGATATGGGCAATTCAGAGGTCGGACACAACGCATTAGGTGCTGGTCAGATCTACTCGCAGGGAACCAAATTAGTTGAAGAGTCGATTGAGTCTGGTCGATTCTTCGAGACTGAAAACTGGAAGAACGTCGTCGGCAAAGCCACCGAAGAAGGAAAGACTGTTCACTTCATTGGATTGTTGTCTGATGGTAACGTTCACTCGAACACCACACAGCTCTTCCAGATGATGGACGGTGTTGTTAAGAGTGGAGGAAAGAAGATACGAGTCCACCCATTACTTGATGGCAGAGATGTTGCTCCCGATTCCGGATTATTCTACCTTGAAAAATTAGAGAAGAAGTTGGCTGAATTACAAGGCAAAGGTATTGATGCTAAGATTGCTTCAGGAGGAGGAAGAATGCATATTACTATGGACAGATATGAGGCAGACTGGGCTATGGTCGAAAGAGGATGGATGACCCATGTCAGAGGTATGGTCCCACCATGTGATATTACTCCAGAATACACTGGATACTATCACTCTGCTAAAGAAGCTGTTGAATTGGCAAGAAAGTTGTTCCCAAAGAAGCTTGATCAGTTCAATCCAGCTTTTGTCATTGTCGACGAACAAGGAAAACCAATTGGAAAGATTCAAGACGGTGATGCTGTCATCGACTTTAACTTCAGAGGTGATAGAGCGATTGAAATCTCTAAGGCGTTCACTCTTCCTAACGAACAATTCAAATACTTTGACAGAATCGAATTCCCAACTGTCAGATACGCTGGTCTTCTGGAGTACGACTCAGACAACCATATCCCACCAAACTTCTTGTGTGCCCCACCAGATATCAAACACGTTTCTTCAGAGTACTTAGTTCACGCTGGCGTGAAGTGTTATGCTATTGCTGAGACTCATAAGTATGGACATGTCACTTACTTCTGGAACGGAAACAAGACTGGTTACTTTGACGACAAACTCGAGTTGTACGAACAAATCAAATCCCTTTCGAACGATTTGACTGAGAGCAACCCCGAGATGAAAGCACAAGAAGTTTGTGATCGATTGGTCCAGAGATTGAAAGAGAAACAATATAAGTACTACAGAGTCAACTTCGCCAACCCAGACATGGTCGGACACACTGGAAATATCGAATCGGGTGTTAAGGCCGTTTTGAAGTGCGATGAATGCTTGAAAACACTTGAACAAACAATTAAAGAACTTGGTGGTGTCATGATTGTCACTGCCGATCATGGCAATGTCGAAACTATGTTGGACGCTCAAGGAAAAGCTATGACCTCTCACACATGCAACCCAGTCAACTTGTTCATTAGAGACTTCGACTATAAGGGAGACTACGTCATCGACACTTCAGTCGAACACCCGGGACTCGCTAACGTCACTGCTACTTACATCAACTTGCTCGGTTTCGAAACTCCAGAGATGTACAAACCATCTCTTATCAAATTCCTTTAATTCAATTCTGGTTCTTTGATTGTGGTTTTTTGGTTCTATATTTTTTATATTGTTTTATTATATTTAATAGTAATTTATATTTATTAATACGAAAGATAGTATTATTAATAAAGTCTTCATTTATTAATTTATTAATATATTATTATAAATAAATAATAAATTATTATTATTTATATTATTATAATTATTTATGGAATTGTTTTTTATTTTGACTTTAATTTTATACAGGCGTTTCCAAAAAAATTATTGCCGATCATGTGGTATTATAACGTACGAATTTATAAGAGAAAATGAACATTTTGGTTATTAAATGGTGACGTGGGGAATTAGGATTGTGATTTTGGAAACCACTGATTTTATCATTGAGAATTATTTAATTGACAATTTTTAGTATTTCATTTAATTACTGAAACTTGTAAAGAATTAATACCTCAACAATTATATTTTATTAGAATTATATAATAAAAGTGGAATTATTGATAACTTCATATAATAATAATCCACGTCATTGTTTTTTGAGCAAAAACACCTCAAAAATGAATTTAAAAGATTGACAAAAATCCCGTAAAAATGATGCTGAAAGACGGGATTCAAAAGGCAATTTAAAAGAAAAGAAAATATGAAAAAAAACAAAAAAAATGGTTCTTCAATTCATTTGGTATAGTAAACCGAATAAAATGAACGAAAAGAAGCAATGGAGAAGCCAAAACTTGAAAAGAGTAAAATGTCCGACGCCATGCAGACGCCACTTGAACGCGCTATGTTCCAGCGTTCAGAACATTTAGTCGAGTCGTTTATGATCATTGGAGCCCCCGTATCTAACACATTTTTTCCTGAGTCGAACCAGGAACTCCTCTACCAATTTCCTAAAGCCCCAAGAGTGAACGAACAAGTTGTTCAGTTTTTGAAAAGCCCAACTCCGTTTGAAAGGATTTCTTTAAAAAAGTATTTGGAAGAGGAACGAATGAAACCCGCTGTTTCAATTCTGCCGGGAAGAGGCTTGTCACAGTTTGCAGTTGCAGTGTCACACCTGGAACCGGTGTGCATGCACTCCACACTCATTCAAGGACCTAACGTGTTTCCTTCAACTATCTCTTCATTCAATGCCGTCAGAAGGTTTTACATCTTCATTTGCTTACAACCACACGTCCAAGGACTCATCCAAGCACTTGAGGTGCTCATAGACAGAGACTTCAAATACAAGTTGAAGGCGCTTGTCGAGAAGAAAAAGGAGAAATTGAACGAACTCAAAAGAGAACAATTGGAGGAGATTCTGAACTCGTTACTCACCACAAATTCAAACAACTTGAAAACGGAGAAATTACAAATACCGTGTTTGAGCACCGATTACAAGGGTTACCCCATCATTCTTTCTTATAAAAAAAACAAAGAAGAAGAAGAACAAGTCAGTTTGGAAATACGGTATTCGTCAATTTATCCCATTCCCAATTTGATGCTGTTGTGCGATTTCTCTCTTCCAATCTTGTTTGCGTCACTTCCAGTGAATTTAATTTTGGACGTGTTTGAAGCAGTTGTTCTCGAAACATCGGTCATATTCACATCAACAAAACCAACGAATTTCACAGCGTGTTGCTTTGGCTTTCTCTCGCTCTTACACCCATTGAGTTGGCAAGGCGTCTTTTTGCCATTAGTTCCTCAAAATCACGTCGAACTGCTAGACGCCCCGGTGCCTGGAATCTATGGCACTCAACCTTTAAAGGAGAACCCATCAACTTCTGGGCTTCTGGTCAACATCGACATGTTCACACCTTCCGTAAGTGAAAGGAAGAAACAACAACATACGTTTTCTTCTCAATCACTTTTACCGAAGGAACTGCGAGAATCTTTGCAACAGAACGTCGAGTCGGTTATTGAAAAGCAGCCGAGAAAGGAAGGTGAAGAGTTTGCATTCTCAACAAATATGATAAAGGTCTTTTGGCTCTTTTTCTTCAAAAGAGTATTTAACGAGCTTTTGACCACAATACCTGTCGACGATGATAATTTCGACCACCTCAAGGAAGGTGTTGAAAAATCAGAGAAAGACCCACAACTCAAAAACTTTCTTCTTAAACTCATTAAAACTCAACATTTCAACGCGTGGTGGTTCTCGCAATACACTCCATTCAAACACAAAATAAGGGAGGCTCTTAGTGCTACCTTCAAGTAATTGTATTTCGTTTCTCTTTTTGGATTGGGTATAAAACTATATTTTATTATTAAAGTACTAATAATCGTACTATTATATTTATTTTCCATCTGACATTCCTTTCTCTGTGTTTTGGATATTATTTAACGAGTTAATTTTAATTTTTTATTGTTTTTTATTGAAGTTTTTTTTTTTTTGTCATAAAACGTTAAATAAAAAAACTCGTTATATTTCCAGAACAAATAACAAAAATAAACTATAAAACAACAAGTGGCTGTGATGAATGTCGACTATCAAATTGAACGTGGCGGTTTTGCAGGGAAAAAGATGCAAGGAACTGTTACATTGAATTGTACATCATCTTTTCTAGTCAAAACAATATTTCTTAAGATCACGAAAATAGTTAGCACTCAGAACAGGAACAAAGACGTCATTGAATATTCGATCTTCCCATTGCGCGTTTATTTTTATTCCCACGAGTTCTGCCCGGGGATTTCTCAAGTCTTTTTTGAATGCGAAATTCCATTAACATTTCCGTTAATGTTTGTGTCTGATAAAGTCGGCTTGAAATACTACGGAGAGTGTGTTGTGACAACATCAAACACGACGGAATTTAAAAGTCGACCAAAGATCTTCCCCGTCTTGTTTGATCAACGGAAGTTGTTAAAACAATCGAAAGCGGTGAATAAAGAAATGAACGGGTATATAGTGAGTATGCACTCTTCACAAATAGTCTATCACAAGGACAAGACTGTGAGACTTTACTTCAATGCGTGCAGATTAAAGGCAGACCAAGCCGATGAAACCTTTTATTTCAAATTGATGCAACAGACGAAAGTCGGAAATACAAATCCAATGACTGAAATATTGTCAACAACACAATTTAAAACACCAATTAAAAGTGTTGAAAATGTGCCTTTAGTGTTTACACCAACAGAAAAGTGTTGTCCCAGTGTTGAAGACTCCTTTGTGTCTTTATACCATTTTGTTGTGCTTTCCCTTCAAGAAGACTCTTTTGAGAGTACCGAAGACAATCTCTGGTTTCCAATATATGTCTCCGGGTGGAAGCCAAAAAGTGTTTCTTATGATCTGAGGAGGTACATCAAACAAATCGACTTACAAATAGACCCCTCGATATTTTCAGACGAAAGAATAAAACGGGAAGTGCCACATATTCCGGATGGAATGTATTCAAAGGATGGTACTGAAGTTGTGATGTTGAGTGATAACACTCATATTAAATTAGACCATTTCAATCGAAGAGTCTTAGGAATGGATAACATCCCAATAGATATGGTGTATCCTTCCTTTGACTCATTTCTACTGAATAATGGCTTAACCTTTGGGTTGTACAAAAACAGGGAAATTGTAGTCGATCATGTCGCCGGATGTGCAAAATTTACTGATCAAGTTGATGAAGTACCACAAGCTGTCAAAGTTGGAAGCACAACAGCAGTTTTGACACTTGTGATTGAACAGACTGAGGGGATTCAATGTCAAGATATGTCATCCATTGGTGATGTAACATGTGCTGTATATGTTGATGAATTCAGTGATTTGAAAAATAAAAGGAACATTCAAGAGTCTTACTCAATCGATGAACAAACAATGTCATTTAAGAATACCAAATTTGTGATTGATGTCTCTCAACGATTGAATGTTATAGTGTCTTTCATTAGAACAACACGCGAGAAAAGAGAAATTATTGGGTTTGTCGACTTGAAATTGTCACATATCCCATTTCCATCACTTGTGGAGAAGTGGTTTGACTTTATGCCTTCGCCTTTGGGAGAAGAATTTTATATAGGAAGAGTCAAGATGAAAATTGGGTATGACACAAAAGCACATACACAACTCGATCATTTTGTTGTTCTGCCAGATTACTTTTCGATGTTTTGTGTGCCAGAGTATGTCCTCACAGAAGCCACTATTTCACTCATTGAAATCCAAAAACTGTTCTGTGATAAAAGGAAACTACATAATCAGTGTGTTGTTGTTAATGGCGATGTGCGGTTAATTAGACAACTAAAGTTTTTGCATGTCATCTGATGACGACATATTTCTATTCACAACACATTCAAGGTCTTCACTTCATTATTAATTTGAAAAGTTAATTACTTTACTATAATATAGTTCTAATTCTATTTTTGTACAATTCCTATATCTATTATTTGATACTATAAAAGTATTATTTTTTAATAAAAAAAAAAACATTTAATATATTTGTTATATTTTTATTAATAACAATTAATTTTCTTTTCTTTGAATAAATAATTTATAATTTAATTAAAAATATAATTTATAAAAATATTTCAAATAATTCGATTGACTCAAAAAAAATTGAACCAGAAAAACAATTGTATTTTTTCTATTAGATTATTATTTATAAATATAAATAGGTAATAGTATTTATTAATATATTAATTAATTAACAATAAAAGTAGTGAATTAGTTGCGACACACGAAGATCACCAATAAAACTTGTTTCCCTCTTTTTTTTTCTTCCAACACAATTTTGTGAAGAACAGATGTATAAATTCGGGAAAACACGCCAATACCAGATAACAATAATGGAAGTTTCATTCAAAAAAAAAATAGGAGCCCAAAAACGTTTTTGTTTTCCTCAAAGTCCGTATAAGAAGGAAATGTTGAACTTTCAAATCATATGGCGGTACCGATCAAGAAATGGGTCAAGAAGGCGAACATGCCTTTGTACTGTATTACTGGTATGTTCTTTGACTTCTCCGTGTACTTCTATTGGTTAGTTATACCCGTTTTAATGAAGAATTTGGGTGCATCGCCAATGGTTATAGGAGGGGCCGATGCTGTCACATTTTGTATAGCTGGTGTATGTGCGCCATTGATGGGGATATTAACAGATAAATGGCGTGGTGAGATTCTTTGTATCGTTGCGTGTATATTACAAGCAATAAGTTGTATATTAACAGCATTGTATTACATCAACAACACGGAGATCTGGCCCATCTTCTTGTTCTTGATAATACAAGGAGTTGGTCTGGCTATGTTCTGGTCACCCGATGAGACATTAATTGGTGCTGAAAGTTACATAGGAGAGGAGAACAAGAACATCTCATACTTTGCTATGTTGAGTGCATTAGGAAAAGCCGTTGGGTTTCTCTTTGGTGGAAGTGCAACGTCTCTTTTAGGTGACCAATACTCCCTTTATTTAGCCGCACTCCTTCCACTCATTGTATTCGTAATCTTCCCACGTCTCCCCAAATATAAAAACGACAAAACAAACCCCGCCAAAGTCTTCCAGAATAATACTATCAAAAGAATCCATCCAAAGATATTCTATTACACTTCTTTAATCGTCCACTTGTTCAATTATGGAGTGATCGCTATAGTTCAAAATCAGTATATTGACTATGCTGGGGATTATAACATCACATTACCTGGTGTTTCTTCACAACCCTCGGTCTTTGTTGGAATCTTTTTGTTTGTTGAAAACGTCATTCAGACAATCACTTTTGTTGTGTTAGGTAAGTGGAGTGGATGGCAATACAAACAAATGTTCAATTTATTAGCATTTGGCGCGATGTTAGTTGTCTCTATTGGACTGTTTATATTCAAGAATGGGTGGGTTGTCATGCTCTTCTCATTACCTATGGGGATGGTTGCCGGATACGAATTACAAGCAAACTTATATTATTCAATTACCGTATCTGCAGCACATGGGAGATACTTAGGCGTGTCGGAATTTATTGGTGAAATGACTTATTCGTTGAGCCCACTTATTTGTGGCGTCTTCTGTTCTATATTCACAAAAGTGTGGATGCACATCATAAACATCTGTATGTGCACATTAGGGTTTACTATTGTGGCGATAGCGACATTCTTGTATCAAAGGACGCACTTATTCGATAAGTTCCAAAAGGTTTCACCACAGGAAACAGCGACTATTGAACTCGACGACTTGTCCAGAGTCTCTTCGATGGAAAAGACAAGAGACTCAATGGACTCATCAAGAGCTTTGTCTTCTATGGATGGGACAGATAACTACAGAAATGCTATTTTGAAGGCGATCACTGATGCTAAAGAAGGTTCCGATAATAGGTCGCCGACGTTACAGAATGTCGAACAGAAAAAGGATGACGCAACGCAAAAGAAAGACATGCAATAACTTGATTGTGTTTTCTTTATTTATTTGTCGTGTCTTTTTTTCAGTTGAAGAACTTAGAGAATTTTAGTGGCATGTCTTATTTGCTTTGACTGAAATAATTATAAAAATAATTATAATAACCCCAAATGATTGATGTAATGGCAAAGTGTTTAAAATAATGTCAAACTTAACAATAATGAATTTGATTAAAAGGCTTTCTCTTTAAAGTATAAAAAACAAGTGAAAGACACATGGAATAAAGTTTGTGTTATAATTTGGTGCCATTGATGAGAAGCAAAATGCACTTTTCTATTTCACAATTAAAGTATTTATATAGTTGGTTTTATCAATTCAAAAATAATAATAACAATTATTATTATATATAGTAATTGTTATACATGACCGAAGTTCATTTGCACACCAAAAACAAAGGAACCAAATTTGCCCAATAAAATGATATAATGACGAGTAAAATAATTCTATAGTTAGAAAAAAATGAACGGCAATAATTCGGATGTTGCAAATAAAAATTAAAAGTCCTTGTCAGTCAATGTAAAAAAATAATTTTGAAATTGAATTGCCATAACCCATTGGGGTGGAATAAAGATAAGACGGAGGTTAATAATTCACAATCCATCACACTGTTCAAATGATGACCAAAAAGATAAAAACGCGAAATCATTTTTTTATGTAGCAAATTTTCCTGTTTTTTAGATTCAATTGGAGTATAAAAAAATATCATTTGTTTTTTTTACCGTCCGCCAACCACTTGAACAAAATAATTGCCAACCCCAATACATTCACTTGGTTGCCTTTGATTTCGCAAGATTTCAGGATTTAATTGGGTCTTAAATTTAGATAAATAATAGCTAAATGTCGTTCGATATATTTATGGATATATTGGATATAACTTCCAATGAGAATACCTTCGTTGCGCACTACCAATTATTGATTTCTGTTCCAATCGGGGTTTGAAATTGATACAAGAAGACCAATGCTTGTGAAACGTAAATCAAATGTCAATTTAGTGTTTAAAACAATTCATGTACCTTCAAAGTTCTGCCATTGGTATTAAAACAATAAGGTTGTTTTGAAAAAGATTTATAGTCTAAAGAAATTCAATTGAAGTATGGTTTCACCAACAGAAAAACAATAATAACAAGACGAATAAATAAATATACAAAATATGAAACGTTTGCATGTTTAGTTGAGCGCCGGAGAGAACGAGACTACATTCTCCTTTCCATCAATAAGAAACCGGTCGTCGATCTCTTGGCTTTCTTTTCCCGCCAAAATGGATTGGATCTCCAAGTCGGTATCAAAGTCGGGTTGTTCGTCTTCGGACGCTTCAACGGCATCAAACCGCTTGTGGTATATCAGCATGATTGATTTTGACTTTGTTAATGGGAGGATTGATGTTATGGAAGACATGTTGAATGAAAAGCAAGATGATTCTTCCTTTTATATTAAAAAAAGTGCGGAATTATTTTCAGTCACAATGAGCTACTTTTAGAGACTTGATTATTCACTGGTTATTTTATTCATGTTCAACAAAGTATATCTTGTCCATTACTATAATTCGTTAATGGACAAAATTATATAAGTGGTTGAAAGAAAATCAACCACCATATTTTTTTTCAAGGCAAAATCCTTTCTACTTCCTTTTTTTGAATAAAAACGATGCGGATTATTATATGTGTGCACAAGGCTCTCTTGGTTATTGTATTAACTCATTTGTTGACAGCAAATTTTTATTTGTAAAAAATACACAAAATTAATAGACTCTATTTCCTTGAAGTTTTTGTTTTTTGCCCACAAAAAAACAAGAAATCTTCTGTTTAAGGTTTGGAATTGCAAACTCCGCCTTTAACTGCTTCAGTCCCGGCAGAACAATAGAAAGAAATTATAAGTAAAACAATTATAAAAACTTTATTAAAACTTAACAAAGTTTGTTAAACAAAAAGCTCGAAATGCGTATTGTTAGGAACGGTTTGAAAACCCTTATTTTCTATAAATTGTATTATTTACAGAGTTGACCATACCCAAATCTGGGAGTTATATTGGCTTGTTATTTCTTTTTTTCTTCACAAATTAGGATGGTTTCAATTATATAACTTTTTTGTAAGTAAATTTTTTGGTTTGATTTTTGTTAAATTGGGAACATCCCAAAATTATAATAAATTATAATTATTATTTTTACATGAATTGTTCTGTAAAATGTCAGGAAAATCTAATTCTTGTGTTTAAAACTTTTTTTGCGAAAACCAATGTAAAAATAGATGAACTTAATTAGTTCCCTAAAAAGGTCCACTGTTGGAAGCCAAAATATTGTTTGTGTTACCACGTAGACACAACGTTGATTAATAAAGTTCTTTATAATTTTTAATTATATTCCAGTTACTTAGTTATAATCAATCAAATTAAAACCATTCAAATAACATAAACAAAACATTATCAAAACATACTTTAATAACAGTGATGGATTTTTTGAATCACTTTGGTAAGTCTTTTGTCAAATATTTAAATTTTTGACAAAATTTTTAAAAAAACATGAACAAACTATATATTAACTATATATAATCTATATAATTATTTCAAATATTTTTCTTGATTATTGAAAAATGTTATAAAAAAAATCATTTTATAAAATGTTATTCAAAATGTTATTTTTTCTGTAAAATGAGAGAAAGTCTGACAAACATAACAAAATAAAAATTAAAAACCAAAAAGAACTTTGAAAGTTGTATAAAAACAAGAGGAGTTGTTGAACGATATGAGAACCACAACAATGATGGTTATACTTTATTTAACTCTCCTATTAACGTTTTTTGTGTTGTTATGGCTTCGTAAACCAGTTCCTCTCCGGTATTACCTTCAGCTCCCAGCAAAACCCCACCAACACAGTTAAACCTCTTTTGTGTATTGTACTATAATTTATTATACTTTGAACTATTTATATTTACTCCACAAAACCTTCCAAGACACTGTACTAACCCAACTCATTTATCATATGTCTTCTTCCCGAAGTCAAATGGAACATACTTGTGCTGTATCATGTGTTTGATCTGTGTCTGCATAGTGACAATAAACAACACAATGAAGTACAGCAGCAATATAGGCCAGAACACAGGCAAGTCAATGAATGTGAAAGACATCACAAATGAGAGCAATACAACGGAATAGCTTCTCACCCTTCTTGTTACTTTTCCATATCAAGTGTGTTATTAAAATAGCCTTGAATCTACTTAATTTATAGAATAAATTTATAATCTATATACTATTTTATATTTATTTATAATATTTAAAGTATTTGCTATGAAATTACTTTAATTCTACAACTATTAAAAGATTAGATAAACACTTTTCTATACCAAATAGATATCTTTTGGTTTACTTTATAAACACAACAAACCAAAATTTCTTTTCTGAAAGACGCCTCATAAAGGGGCGATATTCCGCTCCTGTGGCATCGGGTAAAAGAGGATCGCCGGTGTCATCGATACTAATTGGAGTCAAAAATGCGACAAATTGGAATAATATGTAGATGCCAGAAGTGTACGCGTAGATGTAATATTTGTGGAAGTGAACCATACGGTATATGAAAAGTAAAAGTGTGACTACAAATATCCCCCACCGCGTTTTTGTGTATGGAGTCACACGATCAAGAAACGCGTTGTACTTCTGCGTTACTTTGAATTGAGTTGTGGTGAAGACAGAATCCCGTTGTTCCTCCACACCGTTTTCCATTCTTTGCTTTTATAGTTCATTCTTTTTGGATTTCGGAATGAGATACTAGTCATTTATTATTTATTTATTAATATTTTATTATTACTCTTTTTCTTTGACAACTGACTTTTTCTGTTAAAAGCTAAACCACCAAAATGGTGAAATAGTTCAAAAAATTATTTTTTATAAAAAAATCATTTTGTTTATTATGTTTAAACTAATTTTCGAATACGGTTCTCTATTATTGTTAAAATAAGTTTTAAACTAAATTTTTATTGTAATAAAATCAATAAATTATAGTTTATTTTACTATATTTTTTAATAAAAATGAAATCTCTTTGTTTTTGAAGATTTTTGAGGAGGAATGAAATCAAAACTTGGAAAGAGAATGAAACAACGGAAAACCCTAATGTGCGAAGACCAATACTACTACGACGAGCGTTTTAAGCATTTCTACCGGAAGAAGGACAAAACCATCTTACCAAAAGAAGTTCTTCTCCCTCTCACACCCATTTTGGTAAATCCAATTCGCGCGTCTTTGGCTTCCACATCGCAGATATTGGAGGCTGCTCAGTACACAATGGGAATTTCTTTCAAAAAAATGACTTCATCAGCACCACTCTGCTCGTTCCAGACCAACAATCATCTCAATATATTGACAAGAACTTCTTTTGAGATTTTCAAATTTGAGAATGACAATCTAGTCCCGTTACAGAGTGTCGGGTTACCCGGGGAGGTCTTTAAATATTCGATCTCTCAAACTCTCCCACACTTACAATTACAGAACGTTTTCGTCTTACTTGTTATTGTAAGGGGGAAAATGGTGTTATATGAATACTTAGATGGCAACATAGTCAAACAAACTCCTTTAGAGAAATCCGTGACGACCATGTGTTTGGCCGATAATGACGTTGTGATGACATCCAAAAATTATATTCAATTTTCTTCAACACAGCAACGAGTTTCTTTAGTCGGTAATATTACTTGTGTTGTATATCCCTATGTGAGTACTTCCAAAGGAACACTCTTTAAAATTAGTAACGCAAACAACAGAATCGAACAAGTCACATTCGCCACTTTTGAACGAGGAATTCTCTCCTTCCAATTACTCGACAAGTTTATCGTCGTTCAACTTTCCAATTTAGATGTCGTCGTGTTAAACTTGTTAAACAAGACCACTTCTATTGTCAAAACACCATTCAAACCAACTTCTTTTAAAGTTGTCAAGAATTATATACTTATGACCTCTCCCTCAGAGTTCGCTCTTGCGCTGATCGACGAAAACGGAATTGTCGATTATATCACTCATGAGAAAAAAGAACTTGTCAATTGTATACCTTTGATCCTCTTCGATGAGTACGACAGACCGAGAGTCTCGTTTGTCGGCTCACAAGACATATTTGTGTCATTTTGATTGGGTATGTAAATTTTTGTTATTCGTGTTGTTATTGCTACAATTTTTGTTATTAAAATGTTTTTTTTTATTACTTTTGAATTTTTTTAATTTAAAAATAGTTAAAATTAATTCTCAATTTGAAAAAATAATTATTTTTTATTATAAAAATCGAAAAAAAAATTGATTGAGATTTCTTTAATTAATATTTTTCATATTATTTTTATTAAAAAACTTGGATTCAATTTATTTTATTTTTTGGGGTTTTTGATATTTTTTTTCTATAAGAAAAGTCAGAAATCAAAAACTCGAAAGAATCAACGAATCTTGTTTTACTAAAATATATAGTTAATATATTCATTAATGAGAAACTAGAAACTTATTATCAAACTTTCACCTTTTCAAACGAAAATTCTTCACAAAAAAACAACAAAAAACTATAATTAAATATAAAAAAATTATACAATAAATATAGAGAGAGAATTCAGTTTGAAATACAAATAATTTGAACAGAATAAAAGGGCGGTGCAAACTTTAAATTCAAAGATGTTCGCATTCTTCTTGATTGCCGGCCTAGTCATGGCTGACACATGTAATTCAAACAATGGACAGTTTGCATGCAGTGGGAATGATATTGCAATGAAAGCATCTGCAGAGGACTCGAGATGGCAAACGCCACCCCGTGGAAGTGAAGACTGGAAAGAAGGGTATCAAGGATATTCTCATGTAGTTGGGTACGCACAAGTGAAATACACATCTACCGCAAGAACAGCCGCAACGGTCACAGTAGTTCCATCCGTGAATCCAAAATATAACATCAAAAAGATCACATACGAGTACAATGGTGTTGCCTCAGATTCTGAAGTGTATCAAGTCTCTAAAGAAACACTCCCAACAGAAGATTTGAAGATTAAAGTGATTGTCCATATGGACAATGGAGAGACTGAATACATCAATTTGGAACCACTCGACTTCGTCTGGAGTATTCCAGCCGCCAATTTACCATCTAACTATCAAAAAGGACAGAAGGGTGGTATCGTTGAGATGTTTGGATGGCCATTTGAAGACATTGGAAAGGAGTGTGAATTCATGGGCAAGGCGGGGTGGCTTGGCGTTAAAGTGTATCCCCCACAAGATGGAGTTCTTTCCTTTGACCAACCACAAGACAATTTGTTGAATCCATGGTATTGGGTCTATCAACCCGTCGCTTACAAGTTGACTTCACGTATGGGGACTCGTGCACAATACAGAGAGATGGTCAAGAAGTGCCGAGCTGCGAATGTCTTAGTGTACAACGACATGGTTTTGAATCACATGTCTGGTGGAGGAAATGATGTGTTGAATCATTGCAATGGTGGTAACTTCTGGGGACCAAAAGAGTCATTTACTAGTGCACCATACTACACATTGGGATTCACATATGGCACAGACAAGTACACCGGTAAAATTAACACCGCTGAATACCCCGGCTCAGCTTATGGTCCATTACACTTCCATTGTGAAAGATCACTTAACTCATGGAGTGACGGTTTCATTATGAACGCTGGTTATCTCTCTGGTTTGACTGATTTGGCCACTGAGAACGACTATGTCAGAGACAGAATTGCGACGTGGATTGTCGAGAACTTGGGAGCTGGAGCTTCTGGTATTCGTATGGATGCTGCCAAACACATCTGCCCAGATGATATTGCTGCCATCTTTGGTAAAGTGAAAGAGTATATGGGTGGTGCATTACCGGACGACTTCATGGCTTATCTTGAAGTGATTACTGGCGGTGAAGCAGACATGTTGGTGTGCAATTATAATGACTATCAATACACCAAATACTTGACTGAGCAACTTCAGAAGAATGGACTGAGCAACAGCGATGTTATGAAAGTGAAAATCTGGCAGAGCTGGTATCCAAATGAGTGGAATAAATGTGAAGGAACTATCGAATGGGAGAGACTTGTTATTGAGAACGATGACCACGACCAACAGAAACCAGGAAGTTCATCGCGTGATATGCATGACGCTGGCTCAGTTTTAGTTAAAGAGAAAGATATCAACAGACACAGAAACTTTGAAGTCCAATTGTTCTCAAGAACAGACAGAAACTGGACACACAGACTCTTGTTGTCTTCATACACTTTACAAGATGGGTTGAATGGAAATGATGGATTCCCCGATGGACTTTCTGACTGTTCATTGTGCACTGGAAGTTATTGTGGCAGTTGCAAATCGATTCCAAAGAGAGATGCCTATGTTGCTGATGCGACTGGATATACAGTAGAAGGATGGAGAGGAAGTGATTATACCAGAACACACAGAGACACTGCCATCATCAATGCCATGAGAGGATGGATGGGTCTTGGTTCCATTTCAGCTAAAGAACTTGGTATTAAAGAAGACAATTAATTAACTGTTTCACATCTTTTATTTTTCTGCTGTGTTGTTGTAAATATAATTATTCATAAAAACCATTTCTTATTATAAAATATTATAACCAGAAACTAGACACATCCAATACCAATTTAATAGTAAATTTTATTATTTATATAAATTTATTATGAATATATATTAATATATAGTATGTATTCTAATAAAACTAATAAATAAAATTATTAATAAAATGAAAAGAATATAGTTTAATTTAATACGGGTGAATGTTCATTTCATCTCATGAAGCTTGATGAGAAGACTACTTAAGCTTTTTCTGATCTCGTGGTCGTCATGCATTACAAGCTTATACAAAGGTATAATGCACCACTCTTTGACTTTTTTGAGATGTTCGTCGTCACATATATTAAGAAGTCGAAACACTGAGTTGAGTATATTGAGCGATGGCATAGCAACAAGTTTGTCCAAGAACTTAATGAAGGTGTCTTGGTCTTTTTTGAAGACGGCGTCTGTAAATTTCATCAAGAAGAGTTCGAGTCGAGTTGTGACTTTCACCAACTGGTCGTAGTACGGGTGTGTTGGTTTTGTTTGTACTAAGACGTTTAAAAATCGTTCTGTATTGAAGATGAGTGAAGACAAAATTGTCTCACTTTGTTGTGTTGATATACTAACGAGTTGTGGGATGAAATCTTCGATGGTGGAAATGTACTTTTGGAATGTTGTAGTGACAAAAGGGACATCGATCCGTTTCATTTCAAAATCGTGTGTCACAAATCTATCTGATATTTTGTCTTTAAGAAGAGCAACATGTTTGTGTGTTTCTTCCATGGCCTTTTTACACTTTAACGAGCAAAATTGCAAATTGCACAATGGGCATTCAATCGTTTCGAAGATCTTCAACTCTTTGTGACAATTCGAACAACAGCTGTTTTGTTTTTGATCGACGGATATATTCGTCTGCTCGGACTTTTCAATTTCTTTGAGGAGATGTTCTTGTTGTATAGTGAATGAAAGGGTAGCATCAAAGAAGTAATTTAACACATCTATGTTCATTAATTCAAAGACTTGCATTTGTTCAACGTGGTCTATAAAGAAGGGGATGATATCTTTCAATGCAAGTAATCCAATTTGGCTGATAAGTTCCGTCCCTCTGATAACCAATGAAGTGATGACGTAGACATAATCACAAGTAAATAATGACAACATTCCGGAATTTCTTGAGATGAGTCCAGTCACTTGTAAGAGCAAATTTAAACAGACGGAAGTGATCCATTCAGTGCTTCGAATTTCGGTAAGGGGGTGTGTAGTGTGATGTACATATCCAATTGACTCCAATATTTTAAAGAAGATTTCGTTGAACACAAAATACCACACTTCAGGGCTCATTCTCTCCGAATAATCCGAAACGACTTGAATAATCGACTGAAGTGAAAGTGACGCTATGTCTATGTAAATACTTGACGTCGCTGTCACATACGATTTCAACACATTGAAGAAGATGTCTGCGAACTTTGAATCCATTTGAATGATTCCTTCAAACTTCTGGTCGTCGAGTAATTTCTGTAGATTCCCAATGACAAAGGGGTGACTCTCTTTGTCTTGTGTTATTGTTCGGTTCGCAACCAAAGAGTACTTCACCATAGTCTTTAAGTAGTAATACACACATTCTTCTTCAAAATGTGAATAATGATCACTCACATATTTCAATACATCGTAACCCTGTTTTAACACGTTCATGTTCTCATCTATACCTCCTATATACAACATCGCAAATACTCCTTTCCAGCACTCTTCAATGAACTTGGTGTGCTTCTCCAAATGCGTTTTTAACATTTCTAGAATTGTTAATCGACATTGACTTATTGGACTGTCACACATGGCTACCACCATCGGTCTCAACCGTTCACACTGCCCATCAAACACTCCATTTTCAGTCAAGACAAAATATATCTTGACAGCTTCTTTGGCGACGTCTTCATGTGGGTGTAAAGCTGCTTGAAGTAACAGTTCGCTTGTGCTCTCTGCAATTTCCTTTGGGAGTACCTTATTAATTGTTTTGTACTTAAATAAGATATAACCAACTTTAATCAACAAATACAGTGAAGGGCATGTTTGGTTCAGTGCCTCGAGAGATGCAGTTTTGATTTGGTAAAATACCGAGCAAAATGCATGTGGTGAGAAGGTCACTATTTGGTCAAAGACTGTCTTTTCGACATCAAGAAGAATTTTAAGTTCCTTTCTTGCGTAGTTCAAGTCACTCATTGTAATTGGAATTTGTTTCGTTTCAATTGGAGAATACAACACATGTTTGACTTCCATAAAGAACAACTTTCGAGTGTTTTTTGGTAATGATAAAAGAGGTGGAAGTTGTGGTTTGTCAACCAAATTGACTTCTTGTAATTTAGAAAGTGCAGCAAAGATATGAACCCAGCCACCTTTAATTTGTTCTTTATACAAAACGACCTTTTCTAAAAGGAGTTTGGATACTAAAACATTCTCCTTCTTCGTGTTAGAAGGACGATACGCAAAACTCCACTCGCACAGTGTCTTCACTATCAGTTTGGTATGTTCGGTTATCGAAAGTAACGTCGTGATACCAAGCAGTGTTTTGATGTGTTTCAACACGTCTTCAAAAGTTCCGAATGACAGAAATGCGATTTTCAAAGACTCTAAAATGGGTGGGATAGCCGCCTCTATAAACGCGATTAAAAGATTCTTAGAGAAGAAAGAAAAGGTTCTTATAGGTGGTGACGTGTGCATTCCAATAATAGATTCGAATCCACTTGTTAATGAAAGTAAGTCTTCTCTCTTATTTGGCGAGTTTTTAACCAAGTTGATGTAGACATCTCCATTTTGTTTCTTCTCTTCTGGGAAGAGAAATGCATTTTGAATGACACAGTCATATAACGGGTGTAAGTAATCATCAGGTAACGTGAATTTGAATTGTTCCACCATTTCCTTAAACTTTTCATACGTGTCCATAGTCTTTGTTTTCACATTTGCGTTGTGTGTTTCAGTTGATAGAAATATGATAGTCGTCGACAAGAAGTATATTTGTGTCTCGTTCATCTTCAGCTCGTCCATCTTCTCTTTGTTTGATTTGTAGTATTGCAAACTGAACGTCTCAATCACTCGATCAACTATTTGGCCTTCTCCCGGCATCACAAAGATGCGAAACATCTTTCGTAAAGCTTCATCCACAGATAGTCCAGTGAACGTGATAGCACCTACAAACTCTTTAAATACGTTCTTTTGAAATTCTTTGTTACCAGTCAAGTACTTTCCCAATGAAGTTTTATCGAGTGCCTCATTATTACTTAAATATAAGGCAACACTTTTGGGATCTTCTTCACATAATTTGTGACTCACCATAAACGCTATTCCATCATTCGGACGCTCATTAAACAGTTGAATTGCCTTTGCGTTGTCCACTTTATCTTGTCGCTGTTTTAAAACACTTTCAATGAGAGTCTTGTTCTCTTCGTTTTCATCTTCTGCAAATTTCTCATTCTTTTGGACACTTTGCACTTTGTGGAGAATAACTTCTATCACATTTTGGACAATTTTGTAACACTTTTTGCGTGTGATATGGACAGCCTTTGGTCCGACATCATCGGTAATATCCTTTTGGTAATTTACAGACAACACAAAGTGCATGACGTCGAGGTATTCTTCCAGTATTGGAAGTCCATTTTTTTCACAGTCGTAATTCGCAAAGAGGTCGAAGAGGATATCTGGCTGTGTTGAAAATTTGCAGAACTCGTCGATGATAGCATCTTTGTATGACATCATAGCAAGAGGGGATTTGAGGTAGAAGAGATAGACGTACTTAAAAAGTAGTCCAATTTCCTTTTTCAGTTCAAATCGGTATTTGTGGACAAGCACACTAAAAATTTTCAACGACGTGTAAAACAGCAATTTGTCCGATGAAAAGGCGTTATGGAAAATACACTTGCAGATGTCCACATTCCACCCTTTCACGTTATTTGGGCTAATATTCTTGGGACATTTTTCTAACCAATACCCTACCAAATTTAAGACCATTTTCTCCATCTTCTTTGCGTAATCCCCTTTTCCTCTTAAACTTCTCCAATCGCTGTTATTTAATGTGGTCGATAAGAAGAGGACTTTCCCATGACTAAACTTCCCATTTTTAGTCAACAACTTGAGTAACAGAAGGTAAGGCGGATAGACGTCGACAGTCTCTTTCTCGTCTGTTTGTTCTTTGCTTCTTCTTTTCATCTCATCAAGTTTCACGTCGACTTCTTTTTCTTCTTCTGTTATAGCTTCTGAAGGTTGTTGTGGTGGTGTGTTGTCGTTTGAAGACTGTTTGTCGGGGCTTCCCTTGGAAAGCTCTTTACCCCCATCTTTGTCACCAACTATCTCTTCTTTCGGCGTGTTCTGTTCAGACTTTTGCTCTTCTTTTAACTCACCGAGTTCATCTTTAAAGGGGGAACTTGATGGAGAGGCGGGTTTTGCCAAAATAGGTTCTTGGACTGAGTTGAGTGTTTCATCAGACATAATAGCTGCTGTGAGTTCTTTCAAAGCATTTGGACTCAAAGAATTTCGAGTTGAAGATAACAACTCTAATTGGGTGATTGGGATGTTCCGTTGAGAAAAGCGTACATTGCCAAATAAAGGCGATGCATTGCCATCATATTGTGGTTGGTGTACTGTGAATATGACAACAATGTACTCTTGGATGCATCTGTACAACAATTTGGAGTATTGCTATGTGTCAAACTGATATAAAGATCTCAAATAAAGGCGCAGTTATTTAACAAATACGAACACGTTATATAAATATGAAATTTCAAGCAAAGAAAACAAACCGAGTTTGATGGGATTATCGTGTAAAAGTCAATGAGAAGATGGACATTCTCCATGATACAGTCATTGCTTATTTTAAACGGGAAAGTGGCTCGAATCACTTGGACGGAAAACATGACGATTTTGATGTTGTTGTACACATTTTCGACATTCAAATACGAGTGAAGGTATTGCAACACTGTTTGTACTGTTTTTGATTGGACGTATTTCTTATCGATCAACGAAATAACTGCGTTCATAAACTTTTCTGTTTGGGAAATTTCAAAGAAGTACGATATAGCGATATTAATGCACTCGATTATGACGTCTTGATTGACAGAAGACATCACATCCTCGTCACTTTTAAAATTGTCAAAAACTAATTTGTATTTGTCAAGATACGTCTTTTGGTGTTTGTCAATCAACGAAAAAATCGACGACAAGATGGCTTTGTGGACTAATTGCTCCTTCGACATCGTTTCAATTTTTTAAGTTCTTTCTCTAATTAAAACTACTTTGTTATTTATTCGACTTTTCATTGTTTTCTCACACTTTTACTATGAAATAGTTTATCATTTCCATATGACTCTGCATGGTATTTCTTTTATTATTTTGTGTTGTTTTACTACTTAAATTGTGGTGGTTTTTGTCTCCTTCATTCGTTTTAAAATATTTTCATTGTAATTTTTCAACTGAAAAAGTTTTATTTGAATTTCTTCAATAGTAGAATTTTCAAACAATGTGTATCATAAAAGTTCCACTAAAAAGATTAGATGGGATAACTCAATTGCCTAAGATTTTAGTTCAGTACGACAATAACTTCTAAACCACTTCTACATTAATCTGAAACGGAACTATAAAAAAAAAGAAGAAATCTACAAGCAACCAATCGATTACATAACAATTTTAGTCTAAATATACCAAGAAATACGGGATGTTATACACGAATATTGTTTCACTAATATTTCATAATGTTTATTTATATAGTTACGCATATATAAAAACTCGATTATTAATATCTATAAAATAATGTTCGTGTTTCTCTTCTTCGTGTGTGCATTCTCAATCACGTGCGACAAACTTACAAACGCTCCATATACCGTTGAAGAAGCTTTTGAATGCATTAACTCCGTCACTATAACAGCAGACACAGCCACAAAAATCAAAACATCTTTGAAGCCACTGCTACAGTCTTATGTCTTCAAAGACATCTTACTTAACCCACCACAACCTTCCTTCGACAACACATTCTTCCCTCAAATGGACATGGACAAAATGCTTGATAATTTACCAACAGACGATGGACAAATCTTTTACCAATATATTCAAAAAGTCCAAGCCATAATCGACAATACCCATGACCTTCACTTGTCTTTCAGATTTAGTTCTGATGAGAAAAACAAATATTACTATGATGACTTCTATGCTTATTTACCATTTGTCATTGATATTGTCGAAGGTGAGTATATCTTCACTAAAAATCCAAGCCTGGACTCGGAACACCTCCACGTCGAAATTCCCCTGTTAGATGACTATTATGGAAAAACTATATCAACGATTAATGGACTTGAGCCGTATAAGTTTTTGAAAGACTATGCAGAGGCACACACTTTCTTAAAAACACCACACGGTCGATTCACATACGCAATTGAGTCGATGTCATTTGTTTCATTGCGATCAGCGCCACTTGCCGAAGAGAGTTTCAAGACGAAGTATACCATTGTCTTCTCGGACGACACAACAGTTGACACTGAATACAAATTACTTTACTTGGGAGCGACTGTTGTTGGGAAAGAGAAGAGAAATAGATTATTAAGAAAGCAAAATAGATCACTCAGACCAATAACTGCAGAAGACCTTTCAACACCAAAATTGGCAGACAACATATTTGACTATGAATCGTCAGACACTAACATCGCTTGTAAGATCGATTTGGAGAAGAAGATGAATACTATTGTATTGAAGACCTTTTACCCAGAAGATGAAACAGCAGACTTCTTTAAAGTGTTTAATACATGTATTCAACAAATTGATGAAAACACTAACCCTATATTGGTCATCCTTCCTATGAATGGTGGTGGGTATGCTGATTTGGAAGCCAATTTTGAGAAGGTCTTAGCTGTTCATGCCGATGCCGACTTGATTGGAAGTGTTCGTATATCAAAGCCAAGTGAAGATATCATGAAGAACGAATATGGAGAGTATTTGGGAGATACTAATACATGTGAGGCTGTATATAACGAAACGGATAAAACAGTCCCTCTTGGCGATTTCTATGCGAAACCACAAACCACTCAATATGGAGATGCCACTCATACATTCTCGCAAAACACTTTGATGCACGCGGGAATCATGTTGGAAGCTACTTTAACGAAAAACCCGAGAATACCAACAGATGTTGTTATTATGACTGACGGCTTCTGTTATTCGGCGTGCAGCGTTTTGGCAAAGGGAATGGTTGAGAAGGGAAATGCAATTGTAGTTGGTTTTGAGGGTGACCCCAATATCGAATATGAAAATAGCTTTGATGCTGGAAACTCGCCAACACCCGTTATTGAGTTTACTTCGATCAGTATGCCTGAAGTAAAAACATTACAAGACTTGGGAGGAATGCTCAAGATTTCGTATTTTGAAACTTTTAATTGGAACTATAACTACAATGAAACTATTCCAAGAGAATTCTTGTTAAATCCAATTGATGAAAGATCGAATGTGTGGAGATATGATAGAACGAAGTTACAACAATTTGTTGATAGTGCCATCAAAGTACATGACAAGTATCAAACACAATGCAACAAAAAGAATAAAAGACTTGTGAAAGTTAGTGTCGACTGCGACAAGGAAATTAACGTCGAACATGGACATGGCGGGTATGTCTGTGGTGATGATGGACTTTGGAGTAAGACATGCCAGATGTCATATTGTGACATTGGATATAAATTTGACAGAGCAAATAATAATTGTATTGAAGACGTTTGCTACAATAAAGAGCACAAACATAATAATGACTATCTTATTGTCGTGGTCTCAGTTTCTGTCAGTGTCGTTGTTTTGGTTGCTTTATTCTTCTTGACAATTGCTGTTGTTGGTGTGATCATTAGCCACAGACAGGACAAAAAGTCATACTCAAAGATTTAATTCATATGACTTATTAAATGGTTTGAACATTGTTATTAAACGTTTAAATTAAACGGTTTAATACGAAAAATTTATTAATTGTATTCTCGGTATTAAAAATGTAGTATTTTTATTATTAAATTTATTATTATTTACAATTAATAAAAATTAAATTTCTCAAAAGTTTTTAAGGTGAAATAAATTAATTCCTCAATTTATAATAATAATAGAATAATAATTTATTGTTGATGAGAAAAAATTATATTATATTATATTATTTATGTATAATAATATTTATTAATACTATAACAAACCAAAAATGTATCCAACATTTTAAACCAGATTTCTCGTTTAAATAAAAAAACTATAAAGTATCATATTGTAATTTTTTTTACTTTTCAAAAAGTCGAATTTAAAAATAACAACAAAAACTATTTAAATACACAAATATAATAATAAACAATAATATAAAAAATGTAGACAAAAACATGAAAAAAAATTGGTTTTTCTTCGTGATGTTTATTCAATAATTATGTTTATGTTCTGTATTGGATTTGTCTTCTTACTTTCCTGTAAAAACAAATGAATAACTGCAAAAACATATGAAAACAGTAACAACTCTTCTCCTGTTGTTTTTACTTTATGTGAAAAGCGAAGTTGTCTGTTCGCCTAAGACAAATGACTGTGTCGATGGATTTGTCCCATATGGGACTTCAACTGAAGACATCCAATTCTGCACAACTCTCAAAATTGAGTACCACATCAAACTCACCAAAAAGTGCTTTGAAGTGTTTTTGGAACATCCAAAAATTGTTTTGAGTGCGTACTTAAATTTGACATCTGATTTTAATGTCTTTGAAGACCACGATGTGATTATCACTTATTTGAACGAAGTCAATTTACGTGGGTTTTTAGATATTTCAACTGCAAAGAACTTTGTGATGGAGAGATTGACAAAACTTAATATCGTTGGTGATGTAGAATTTGTAAATGACTTCACAGTTCCTGACAACGCTGATATTTTCATTGATGGGACTTTGACGCTTCATGACAAAAATTTAACAGTCCCAAATTATAGCCTTATAATACCAAGAGTTATGAATGTCTATGGAAGCTCAAATATAACCTTCGTGAACGTTTATTACTCATCACTACTGAACAAAACAGTTGCTTTCAATTTTTTCGACAATACAATTGTCACTCTTGAAAACACAATTTACTTCTCTCCAATCAGAATTAATATTGAAGTCAATTTCTATAACAATTCATGTGCTACTCTGTTAGATAGTGACGTCGATGTGAATATAGGGTTTCATGGAAATTCAGTCGCACGGTCATTGGGATCTGTTTTATATACAAACACAATAAACGGTGCAGCTTATTTCTTTGATGCTTCAAAACTCGAAATCGCCGGTAAACTTTCAATACAAAACCCTTCCATATTTTATGATAATTCAGTTTTAAATTTTACTAACAGAAACAACTTAAATGTACCAGAGTTGTCGTTCTACAATAGTTCCAGAGTAAATATGATTTTCACTGGTCTCACATCACAAACAAACTGGCAGGTGAAAACGGAATTTTATATGTTTGACACTACTGTTATTGTTTTGAAAAATGTTGTGGTAAATGTTTTGAACATAGTATTGTCTAATCAATCAAAAATGATGCTTGAAACTTATGTTAACATCACTGGAACTGAATTTTTACTGATGGACGCCGCTATAATGAAGGCCGATGCAGAAGCAATGATCGATGTTGCAAGACTGTCGTTCACAGATAATTCCAAATTGTATGTTGGCGATATATGGAGCTTTTTTACCTACGCTCAAAGTAAAATGTCTGGACAGAGCGAGTTTTATATTGGAGCAGATGCTTTCCTTATATTCTCCAAACGACAACATTCGCATGTGAATGTTAATATTACTTTTGAGGGCAGTTTTACTGTTGTTGGTAATACAAACTCATTGTTACTTTTTGAAGATGTTTACACGACCTTTGGTGGACACTCGAAGATTAAATTATCTAACAGTTTTTTGGTAGTAGATGGTATTTTGGTGCTCAAAGACAACACCGAAATTTACTTGAGAAATTTGTCGAGTGTGACAACTGGTCTTGCCAATTTCAACATAGACAACGAATGTGAAAATAAAACGGAATCGTTCACTGAAGAGTGTTCTTCTCTGAATGTCTTAGATAACGTTTTTATATCGACAGACTCCGTTGTGGAATCTTCGGAGTCTGTTTTTTATAACGAAAAAGGCAACACCAAAATAGAGGAGACGGTCATATTTGAGTCTACTACACATCGGTGCATTGATATCATAGCTCCAGATGACACTTATGTATTCCAACTTGGCATTTTAAACAACAAAACGTTTTCATTTGTCTCTGCAAATCAATTAGTTAGACAGTGCTCTGGGGAGTTCGAAGGTGAAGTGTATTGCCACATGGACTATGATGTATATACATCAACATCGTTCAAACAAAAGCAGTGTCCATGTTTCACTACATTATCAGAAACGTGTTACACAACTTCTCTCACACAAGACGTCAGAGTGCTTGACGAAGAAATTCAAACGGAGTTTAGTTCTGAAGTGAATTTATTGTTCCAAAATGCGTCGAGTTCGATGCAACAAATAACGGGAAAAGTAAAGAAAGTAGTGCTACAAAGTGGTGTCACAATACCTTTAAATTTGGAACACAATACAATTGAAAGAAACAAATTTCGTATCTCTATAAATTGCTTAGAAAGTGATACCGTTGCCACCATAGATATTGATAATAACTTGTTGTTCTTGGGAAGTGGTGGTCCGTACGTTTTGTATATGGAAAAAGGAAATCACGTGTATGAACTCAACATTATTTATATTGCAGAAGACGTGTTGGTAATAGCCAAAAATGGATTTATTATGACTCAAGCGCCAGGTGTATTGTGTTCTTATGGAATATTGAAAAAGGGTGGATTGGAGTGTTTAAGAATAAAATCTATAGAGTGCGATAAAACTATGCACCCAAATGAAAATTATACACAATGTGTTCCTTGTCCACAAAATTGCTTGAGGTGTAGAGATGATACTTTGTGTGATATATGTGCTGATGGGTATTATCTAAATGATGGTAGTTGTGTTTATATACCCAATGAATGTACTTATGTGACCCACAACCATTGTGCATATTGTAATAACACAGGTGTTGTTAATGGAACATGTGCAATAGAGCCAATTGAAGAAAACTGCATTGAATTTTTTAATGATAAATGTGAATTGTGTGACGCAAGTAAAAATTCTATTTTACATGGCGGAATTTGTGAAACAATGCAAAATGCCAAATTTGTGTCGGCAAAGGCAATTTTAGAGTGTGAAGATGGGTTTTATTTGTCTGGAAACACATGTGTACCATGTTTAGAGAATGAAATGTTATGTACACTTCACTCTCCAGTTCAATGTACAAAAGGGTTTCTATTAAATTCCCACACAAAGGAATGTGACTCATTACATTGTGATACTTTTAATGAAAATGGGTCGTGTACGGTTTGTTCGAATGGGTATATGATTTCATTAAACAACAAGTGTGTTCTAACAATTGAAATGTGTGAAGCTGCACTTGACTCAATATGTGTGTTATGTGAAGATGATAATTACAACATTAATGGAAATTGTTATACAAACAAATCGGAGTTATGTGAAGTTGGTGATGAACGTGGGTGTTTGTCGTGTAAATCTGGATATTACAGCACTACCAAATTTGAGTGTGAACCTTGCGACTCGAAGTGTAGTTCTTGTGTCACAACATCAACTTCATGTTCTGAGTGTTCTTCAACAACATATAAAGACGAATCGGGTAATTGTGTTTCGACCATTGATTTGGACTTAAAATGCACGTGGCACACGCCGTTTGGGGAGTGTCCATCGTGTCTTGATGGCTTCTTTTTAAATTCGCTCACATGTTATCCATGCAGTGTTTCTTGTAAGACGTGCATTGAAACTCCAAGTACTTGTGTTTTGTGTGCTGACGACTACTTCATGAATATCAGTGGGTGTTCCCTTAAAAGTGATGTTGTTGGATGCGATGGTGATGTGTCATCCACAACGGGATGCAATAAGTGTCAAATTGGATATTATAAATATCTTCGTGAATGTCGGCCGTGTAAGGATGATTGCTTTTCTTGTAATATAGACAACAAATGCACAAGTTGTTTTAACACTGATGTTTTACTCAATAATGGTACTTGTATCTTGATGAGTAATGTTCAGTTCTGTGTTCAAGTTTCAAATTCAAAATGTGAGAAATGTTCATTTTGGCACAGTGCAAGTGACGACGGAACTTATTGTTTACGACATTCTGTGTGGTGGGTCATATTTATATGTGTGATGTTTCTTGTAGGAGTCACTTCTTTAATGGTTTTAATAACATCTTTCGTTGTAAAGAAAGTTGTCGACACCCTTCATGAGATGAAGATGAAAGAAAAGATCCACCTCTTCTCGATGAAACACATGGACAACTCCAAATTTGTACAACTCTCAGTTGGGATTCTTGTAAACAAGACCACACTCACATTTTCAAACGATTCGGATCTTTTTAAAAACAGTGGAGAAATCGAAATACCGGTTGGAGAACCAACAACCGAAATACTAATGTTGGGAAACGTTTCAGGGACTGCTATTAAATTCCAGATAATGACCAGAGAAACAAACGAGAAGTTTGAAATTCGAATTGAACCGCCAGTGGTCACTCTAAAAAATAACCAAGCCTGTGAGTTCAAATTCACAATCATTCCAAAGTGCACGTGCGCTATAAAACAAGACGTCAGCATAGTATCGCAGTTACTCAAGAATGAAAATGAACAAATTGATACTATTTATATAGCAACTAAAACACAGTTGTCGTCCCGACTCGACCCAGAAGAAATAGTGTTGGACAAGAAATTGGGTGAAGGTTCATTTGGTGTTGTTTTTAAGGGTGTGTACAAAGGGCAGAGTGTAGCAGTGAAGAAACTTAAAAACATTGAAGGTGAAGAGGCGCTTAAAGAATTTGAGATTGAGGTGAAGATGCTGGAGAAATTTAAAAGTGAGTATATAGTCTATTTCTATGGTGCTGTATTTATACCAAACAAAATCTGCATGGTCACCGAATTGGCGCAATATGGTAGTTTGAGGGATGTCATGGAAAAAGTTATGGTGTTAGTCCCAATGACGCTATCAATGCGAATTAAAATGAGTCTTGATGGTGCAAAGGGCATTTTGTATTTACATTCAAACAACATATTACATCGAGACATCAAACCAGATAACATATTAGTCACTTCATTGGAGGAAAATGTGATTGTCAATGCCAAGTTGACTGATTTTGGATCAAGTAGAAACGTGAATTCAACACTTTTGAATATGACATTCACCAAAGGGGTGGGAACTCCAAAATATATGGCGCCAGAAGTCCTTGACAGAAAACATTATGAGAAACCCGCTGACATCTATTCTTTTGCAGTTACAATGTATGAATTATTTAAATGGGGTGACGCGTATGATCCAGACAAGATACGGTCGTGGGATATAGCGGATAACGTGTGTAAAGGGTTGCGACCGAGTCTTGACGACGTTGATGAGAAAGTTCGTGACGTTGTACTTATCGCGTGGGGGCAAAGTGTTGAGAAAAGAGCGACTGCACAAGAACTAGTGACTGAATTAACTAAATTGATATAGTTTATCGCTATTAAGTTATAATAATACATTAAACCTATAAAATGATGTTATAGTAAATTAGAACGTCAATATAACGTCTGGGAATTCGACATCATCGGGCAAGTCATCTCCATTCTTGTCTGTTACAGTGAGGGCAAGTGTCATAGCTTCTGCTTTAAAGTCTTCTCCAAACAACTCCTTGTATATCTCTTTGATTGTTTTCCCAAGTCTAGCCTTTCCGGTAGGTAAGTATGATGTGTATAACATTTTGACACCAACAGTGACACTCTCGACGTTCACAGAGAACTTCTTGAATATGAGGTCGACAAACTCTTGCATCGTGCAATTCCCATTGAACTCAAATTTGTCCCAAATCGTCACTTCCATTCCTTCGCAAAGTTTCTTTGTTACAACCTTTTCTGGTTCTGTTGAGTCCAAGTACCCAATTGCCAAGTTCAAGAAGGAGTTGTGGTAGCACGAGAATGGCTTCTTAAGCAAGATCTTGTACAACTCAATGCACTGGAGTCCAGAAACGACTGCGGTTGTTGTGATCATGGCGGGGATGATTTTTCCTGAAATGAATTTGGTCTTGTTGAA